CCTCCCGCCAGTCTCAACCCCCTACCCCACTCCCCGACCCCCACTTCTATCCCATCCACCTTCCCCACCCTCAACAAACCATTGTGTGATGTCACTGTTTGTCCTAAACTTTCCTATATAGGACAGTTGATACACAATGCAGTCTGTACCTGTTATTGAGGTCACAGTATTGGGGCTGACTATATACAAAGATCAGACAGCTTGTCATTGTGAGGTAAGCCTCTCTGCCCGTCAACACCCACTCGACTTCCCATTGTCTCCTGTTGTCCTGTCACGCCCCAGCAAACATGCAACGGGTCGGATTTTTCATGCTCCTCTTCCCTCGCTCATCCGCGACTCCAGCCCGGTGTTATCATTATGATTATTTAGGTGTTTTGAAGGGAATACATTTTCACTAGTGGCTTATTGTTGACAAAGCTATTGTTAGCTCCGGTAGTTTTGTCGAGATAAGTGATCAGCATTTAGGAACTAGGGGGTCTAATCCAACCTGCCTACCGCTATTAAACACACCTGAGTGTGAATAGGTATATACACCACCTCCTGGGCAGGGTAGGGTGAGGTAAGAGCTAGTCGCCCAGGTAAGTGACACCAGTCGCTAGATCGGCCCGCGTGAGTCGGGTTGTGTGCGGGAGTGTCAGACCCCAGTGCTGTGGTACAGCTGATTGTAATTTACATTGGCGCGTGGGCCAGTAATACTCGCAGTGTCATATTAATTGTAAGCGTCATATCCAGGAAGTGGTGGTGTACAGTGTGTTTAGAGACTGTCGGGTCACTGTGATTCGGAGGAGGATAACTGTAGCCAACATGCATCTCTCTGTGGCCGAGGAGTTACACTTGCATTACCTATACAAGATGAGCCATTGTCTAACCTGTCCGCCGGTTCTACCCTACCCGGGCCTTCCGTCGGTATGTTTAATATTTTTGTCTCTCACCTGTTAACGAGGTCAAGAATCTTATTTTTCTCACCTACCTGATGACGTAATCAATTAATGTCAAGACAGGCCTGACAGCCTTCCAGTTGTGTTTTAATGACTTTTGTTACAGTTGTTATTGTGTGTATAATATACACTCTTAGGTGATAACTTTACCATATTCCAGTTTAGTAAATGCCCCCACCCCCGGGGCCTGTGGCAGGTTACATTAGACTTTAAATTGTAACACCAGCATGTGTTCTCTCTGTGCTGTAGGGTCAAATCTTTGCGTTTGTGACTTTCTGGGAATTGTCACCTTTTGTATTTATAAGAGGTGGAACTTGCAGAAAAAATTTAGTTTAATTTGATGGCCTAGGGGGTAGGTTAAATATTTGTATGATCCAGGAGGTGACATGTATGTCCTTACAATGACTGCAACCCCACCCCACTGGACAACCCCACTGGATGGGATATAAAGCCTATGGGGGGGGGGGGGGGGGGGGGCTAGACTGTTATTAGAGTAGCCAGCCCCGGGCAGGGGCCACAGCCCTAGGGGAGAGGTGGGAAGCTATTATTGGGCTGGTTGGTTGTGTTACTATTTAGATGATCTCATCTGACTCAGAAATCCCCACAATTTCAAATACAAGAACATCACTATACTCTGCATATGAAAACTATCTGGGACTGCCTAGATTGACCCTGGGGCCAGGCTGGGTTGTTGTAACTACAGCTGAGAGAAGTGACCCCGGGGGCTGTGACCCTGGGGTCAAGTAACGAGGCCAGCGTGACAGGCACAACATTACACCGCTAAACGTTTAACACTTCACAAACTCAAGTTTGATGGAAAATTGATGTCGGCATCTGTCTGAGGTGAAGTGTTTCGTGGATGTAACTGGTCGAACAATTGGTGACGTTGAATTTCACAATTATTTGTCTGTATGAGGATCTTGTTGTGGTAATTAAACATTGAAGTGTGGTTTGTTTACAGTACAGTAGTACATTGTTTTGTGTATAATAATGCTTGAAGTCAATATCACGGAAGCCATTTCCTTGAAGACGTGTGATGTAATGATTTTCCTGATCTAGATAAAATTATCAGTGGGCTTCTGTGCCAATCTTAAGGGGGCTAAATTCATGCCCTTCCTGGTCTGTCACCCCAGATAACCTCAGACTCCCCAGGAGGCTGTCGTAAAGGTTAGAATCTGTACATTTAAAATATTGCTCCTTCATTTTATTATCAAAATAATGTTGGACTTACCTGTATTGTCATAACCTGCGAATACTTGATTGGTCTTTCTGATCCCAGCCTTCCTGTATGACACATTTTACCTGATATATTGATTGGTATGTTTATATCATCGACAAATAGGTTTAATTGAAAGTCGCGAAACCTAGCGGTATCTCTCCCACCCGGGGTGTCGAATCTTGAATGCGGGTTTAAAAAACAGGGTTATAGATAGCAACTTCATGATGACTTGCTGTGTGTGCTTTAATTAAATGAAAATTTGCATTTTTCTTTAAAGAATTGTGTTTTAAAAATTCACAGCAGTTTCAATTCTCTAGCTACCTAATTTATAACTCTGTGGTATCTTAATTGTAATATATCGCATACACTCCCAAAATTTGTCCTGTTTACTGAGTGCATTAGTATGTATTTAGCATAAATGGGCCTCAAACCTGTTTCCCGAATAAAAGATCCTGTGATTATCTTTCCTGTTTCTTCCAATTACGATACAGGTTCTTAATAGATGAAAATATTTTATGCATTTCTTACAAAAGCATTTATTTTGTTGAAACCAGAAATGACTTTAGGTGGATGATAATGTTGTGATGGAAAGATTATACGTGTCGCTCTGGAAGCCGCAGATACAGGTATTGAGTGACGTTTGTATAATCCTGCATCAGAGTTGTAGATATATATACCTGTAAGTAATGATAGATACAAGCAACCAGGTGTCGAGATCAAAGGGAGTTAGGTTGATATACTTACATATTTTTTGGGACATAATTGAGGTGTAAATTGAGTCTGCCTTATTCTTCTGTTGTACCTATTTTTTAAAGACGGGGCCTTCTCATTTAATTATATAAGTAGTTACGTAGGGGGCATGATAAATCTCAAACCTTCTTTTGCTAATCCAAGAGAGTAGTTGTAACATGACGTCATTCCCTACATTCATAGGACGTCATGTATTAGCCTAACTGCTGCTTTGAGATCCAGTATTTCACTCAATGTGTAGATTTTACGTCATCTTTGGAAAAAGTATGGCGGAGAAGTACTAATTAATATGGAACTACCCCTCAGCAAAATCTCGGGTATTATTCAAATTCTGAATACTTCATAAGAAATCTTTCATTTTTTTTGTTATTTCTCCCCTTTAGAGTTTAGTATTGTCGCTGTCTGCATACCTACAAATGAGACATTGACTCTTCCAGTTATATTTCGTCCTAGTGTGGATTTTTCGACTGTCTCAAGTATCTGTTGTCGTTGGTAGAGTCTCTATTTACTACATTTTATCCTGTATTTGTAGATTAGGTTCAGTTTCCTCCCCCCATCAGCCCCGGCCCCTACTGATACCTGTCCTCAACGATGGGGCGTGTCATACCGGGTAACAATGCTCAAAACCAGGTAGAAAATCAGGTGTTTAAGAACTGATTGATATTAAGGCGAGAAAGGAGAGGCTAGAAAACCCGTTTTACCTTACCTGATTAACATTTAATGGTACAGGTAAGACAAGTCAGCTGTATCACCTGGGTTTTAAGCTCGTTACAGGTAACATTTTATGTACTCCACCTTTTGTCACACCCCGGTGCTGTAGATGTCTCCAAGTCTTCTGGCCTGGATTTATGGCTTCCGTATTACCTTGTAGTTTTTACGCTCCTAAATCTGTACGGATATTGTTGCATGACACAGCTCTACACGTCTGCTTTTGGTTTAAGTGTAGGGTACGACTTTTATATCAGGTGTGAGATCTCGTTACAAGTCTGTATCATTAATATACCATGAAACCTGTCTATACAGGGGTCTGTTATAAGCAGGTTCTTCATGTAGCCTCACCTGTCTAAACAGGTAGACATACCTGTATATAGAGGTGTACGTTATAAGCAGGTGCTTTATGTAGCCTCACCTGTCCAAAAAGGTAGGCATACTTGCCTATAGAGGTTTCCGTTATAAGCAGGTACTTCATGTAGCCTCACCTATCTAAACAGGTAGACATACCTGTATATAGAGGTTTCCGTTATAAGCAGGTGCTTTATGTAGCCTCACCTGTCCAAAAAGGTAGGCATACCTGCCTATATAGGTGTCCATTATAAGCAGGTACTTTATGTAGCCTCACCTGTCTAAACAGGTGGACATACCTGTATATAGAGGTGTCCGTTATAAGCAGGTACTTCATGTAGCCTCACCTGTCTAAACAGGTAAATATATCTATCTATAGAGGTGTCCCTAATAAGTAGGTACTTCATGTAGCCCAGGTTGCACAGGTATCTATTGCCCATTATACAGGTACTTGCTGCTTTAAACTTTCAAACATAACATTTATATGGGAAGGTGTTCTGATGTGACCTTTATCGACAGGCATCATTGTTGACACGTTTTTACACAATGTTAGCCATGATGTACAGGTATTTTTTAACGCTTTACAGAAATGGCTGTTCTTTATCCACAGGTACTGTTGGCTGTTCTTTATCCACAGGTACTGTTGGCTGTTCTTTATCGACAGGGACTGTTGGCTGTTCTTTATCGACAGGTACTGTTGGCTGTTCTTTATCGACAGGTACTGTTGGCTATTCTTATCCACAGGTCCTGTTGGCTGTTCTTATCCACAGGTACTGTTGGCTGTTCTTTATCGACAGGTACTGTTGAAAAAGCATCATCTTTGTCTGATAGCATATGGAACATTCACCATGTAAGAAAAAAAAGGCAAAATTGAAAAAAAAAAATCATGAAGGAATTTCCTGGTGATAATTGAAATATTTTGTATTTTGTATAATGCTTGTTTGAATCACATGTGATGTTGATCAATGATAATTGATGTAAAAAGATTTGCTATAAGATTTTTTATAGTGGTGTTTTATTGTGTGTTTCAGCCGGTGCAGACGGAACCAGTGGATCTGTCGGTCAGCAGCAAACGGCCGTGCAGCCCAGGCGAGATTACCTATAGGACACAGCAGGGACTCGATCTACGGGTACAGCGTAAAGGTCAGTATCTTAATTGTCATCACCGTGGTGACGTAAACATCACAGTTGTCACGGTTACATGTGGGCTTACAGCAGAAGGGGCATTGGCGTCATGGCAGAGCTAGGTTTATGTTAGGTAGCATAAGAGAAAAGAAAATTCTGTTGAAGTATAAAACAGTAGAGAGTTCCAAATCGTGTTAAGCAGTGGCAGTAATTGTTTTAATGAAAGTTTGGTGCTGATATATAGGTGAGCTTGCTATTTGCAGATTGCATTGACTGGACACATGTGTTGGTAGTAGATCTAGCAATCATGTAATAATTGGATAAAAAAAATGGCATTTGGTGCGAAGCTGAAAAACTTGGTAAACACAACGGGTGTTTGGGTCTCAGGCGACTTACTGGTGGCAACGTGGTGTGTTCACTGTTTATAAAAATATTTAAGTCTAGAATCATAACATGCCAGAGACCTTATTGAGCTCACCTGGTGATTGTCAAGTGGTGCGTCCACTACTGTGGTCAATACATAGGTAATAGGATGTCCTGGCTGACCTCTGATCAACGGTCAAGTTAATCTTCTTACTTACTGCCATTGTACGCAATGAGCTTTGGTGATGGTGCATATTTTACGGAAGATAAGTATTTTGTTTGTAAGAAAGACATTGACCTAAGTGGTCATCTGGTTAACTGGACAAAGACTGGACAGTGGCCAGAACAAAATACTGGACATTGGCCGGACTGTGGGGGTGAAGGTCGGAGTGACTGGACAATGACCTGACATTGTTTGGACTCTGGACAATGGCTGAACGGCTTCGTGAAGCTGATGTGTAATCCCGCGTAATGGCCCAGCATTCCAGGAAACCATTTAATCTATGAACACCATGACTGGCAAATTTAACATTCAAATAACTCACTCCTCTAACGGGAAAATCATCGACTATTTCAGTGTTTTATTTATGCTTTTTAATTTCAAGTTTTAATCTGAACATTAAAAGTTGGTTGGCTTTGAGTGTGTTCGGTGGCAGTAATAGGTGATTACTAGGTATAGAGGGTGGTGGGTGGGGGGGTGTTTGTACTGAATGGTACTGCTCTGATTGATCAACAGACCTCCTGGAGGGTAGAAGCCACTATGTCAGTATATATGAACTTGAATGTGTATTGACTCGGTAAGATAGTCGCTGCTCGCTCAGGCGCGGCACGCACAAAGGGGTGGTTCATGGGTAGGGCAGGTAGAAAAGGTATATTTGTAAACCATTAATGCTTAGCTGCCTCAATGATCAAGCACTTACTGTCGGTACAAGGACGCATGCGATAGAGTCAGGCTGCCATAGCCTCTATCCGTGACGTCACACCTTGTGCGAGACAGAACCGGTGGGTCGCATATCAATATAGCGTTTAGCCTTATGTCATTTAACAACAGCAGTAAGTTATTCAAAGCAGAGTTAATTTAACAAGTCATCAAACAAATTTTTTTAAATGTTTTATTTTTTTAACAATCTAAAATTGAACAGGTGTTGTCTCATGTTTTTTGTTTTTTATGGTCATTTAAAATTCTGACATGCTTTTTTCACTATCAATTTAAATAATTTTGGAATTATTTGAGAATGAAAATTAAAGTTTACGTCCCGTTAAGCTTGTTAAGCTGACAATTTGTCTAACACCCCGAGCCCAGGACAACATATCAGACATTTAATGGGTTATTTATGTCGGGATATGTGTTGAATAGACAGCAAAACACAAAAGAAAAATAAAGAGATTTCATGATGATATATGCAAAAAAAAATTCTTAACTTTTGGAATCTTTACTTAGCTTGTAAGGTGTTTGGTTTACCTCGTGCCATCTCAAGGTCAGGGGTCAGGTTAAAAACATTTGTACACAATTGTTTGTGTGTGTATCAGATAACGTTAAACCAGAATTGATTAAATCACATGGTATGTTATAAGTACTTTTTTTGTTGATATTGAGAGAGGGTAAGAAGGGACGAAAACTAGACAGGGGGGGGGATACCACATAATTTAGATATCTCATCTCCATACTATAATACTCCATACGGTAATGAATTTTGGTTTTTTATTTTCAATAAGAATCTTAAGTGTCCTATGGGTTATCCGATTTCTACTGTAGAAAGTTGACATAAAATTACCAAGGAAAAGCGTTTAGCTATGACTTGGCCCCGATAGCTACTACAGTGTTAATCGGTATTCAGGTGTGGTTGCGGAAGCTGGATTCGCACCTGTCGGATGCGATCTAACGTCGCAACCATACCTGGCACAGATAATCTAACTCAGGATATCCCGACTAATTGAATTATTGGACTCGAGATTGGACTGAGGACATCACCACCTATTGACAAGGGAGTTATTGATTTTACGACCACTCCCGCGTTAGTGTAGGGAGTGGCTTATCTTGTTTACAGTACACGCAGCCACACCTGCGGCGAGTATATACGAGGTCGTGTGTTTGTTATTGAACAAAGAGCTGGGACGCTCTCACTATAATAAAACAAAGGACCCTGAACTCTGTGTAGCATTAAAATGATTCCCTATCTATCAATCGGTCTCCGCTTTTTTTTCAATGTCAGTTCTTTACAATGGCTCCAAAAGGCTCCAATTCACTCTCCTGTATCTACAAATCTAGAAAATAAAAAAAATAGTGAAGTAATTTTTTTTTTAAAGTGTGACTCATCATGTGTTTGTCGGGCATTGTCTCTCACTTTGCTTACAGCTGTTAAAAAAAAGTATTGAAAAAAAAATGTGTGTGACCTTTTCACCCACGACCTGCATTATACTATTCACAGGTGTAGAGTAGGGGATTCACCCAGGTGTGAGATTTTATGACAGCTTTAAAAGGTTTTCCTTATATTAATTACGACAAAGAGAACTCCTATCCTACCAAGATAAATATCACGTTTATAAATTATTATTATAAAGTTTTCTTGTCATGACAAGTTGTGTCTATCTTTTAAACGTTGCTATAGTAACATCAGTAATTGAAATGTGTTAAATGGAGGTTGTTGCTGTTGTTATAACAAGCCTTAAGAATGATGTAGATTAAAATTATGACCTAATTTTAGAAAACAATGTTTATTCTCAATTGAATATGCTTGAGATTCTGTAGAGTTACAGAAATGTGCTGAAAAGTTGTGGCGTAAACATTGCTTTTTTTTTTTTTAACGAAACAAAACAAAATATTGGTGACAAAGCTTTTAATAGATAGTGTTATTGATTTGATAGGTAGTTTAGAAATCTAAATGTGACAGCCCTGATGGCTCTGAAAAGTACAGCTCTCTATGGATTTTCTAGTCTACCCATATGTGCAAATGGGTATTTACTAGGAAGCAATTTGTGAGAGACTGGTGTTTCATGAGTTGTTGTTTTGTTGTTGGTTGATAAATGTCAAAAAGACATCAATAGGGTTACCTATCATGATTGTTCTAATCTACCTAGCTGTACAAGTGGGTATACACTAGGAAGCAACATGACACACTGGTGGCTTCTTATATTCAATCCGTCACAAAAACAGAATATTGTTTTACCAAATTATAGCTATAGTTTAGCATAAACAAATAATTGATTTTTTTTTTTTTTTGCATAAACTTTTGCGACCTTCAATTTAAATAATTCTTTTACTTTTTTTGTGTCTATTGATTTAAATAACTGACCATCTGCCTTTGTTTTGTAGACATGGATGACCACCCCAATGTCACACTGGAAGCCGTCAACAAGATCGGTTCTGCGGCCCTACTGTCGTTGCGAAGGATCAAAGAGGCCTCTGAGTAAGTGAAGCTTCCTTAAAAATTCTGTAATTTGAAATGATTCTTCCAACTTGCTAAATATAGCAAAAAAGAAATCTACTTCAGGGACAATATGAATCTAAAACTTTTGGACTATGTGATAAAGGTTAACACAACAATATTAAGCCAGTTTTCTGAGCATTAGAGATTATTTTTGCTTTCTTATTGTTCTTAAATGGAGACAGTTTTCATAAGTTAAGAGTGGTATAATAAAACAATGATTGTTTATTTCAGTAAATTCAAGAGTTTAGAACACACACGACCACACACTGCCAGTTCTCCGCTGCCAGTCAGCGCCCCCTACTCCATCTCACCCGTGCCAGCCGGGATCGACCCGTTCCTAGAGCGTGAAAAGAAGAGGCGGGTACATCGCTGCGACTTTGAGGGCTGTAATAAAGTGTACACCAAAAGTTCTCACCTGAAAGCTCATAGACGAACACACACAGGTAACTAACGTGACCTTGATTAGGTTGTGCAGTGTTTTCATTAAATGCTGCTTGCCGGTAAAAGTTGCCTGCTGTTCATCAACTTTGAACTGGCTACGTTTCATAGCATATTGTTTATTGGAGTTAACCCTTTCCCCTCTGTAGACCATAATGGACTCATCCAGATCAATGCATGGTAGAGTTTACTAAAGCTGCATAGTGGTGAAAGGGTTAAATAAGAATTCTTATACTAATTACTTACTGTAATAATATATTTGATGATACACAATCATATTTGTTGTTTCTATTAGTTTTCTAATAATATACAGTATTTTGTTTGGATGATATCTATCAAAAAGATGAGGCAGATATGGTCCTGTATGAACATTTTCTTTGTTCCTTTAAAACAAATTGTGACTTGTGAACAAAACAAATGTATTGAAATATTTTTCTTGAGAGAATTGAGAAGATTGGAATCATCAGGTGACAGTAAACAGACCATACATCTGTTTTGTGACATAGCCTAGGGCAGGGAATAAGATAGAGAGGGATGGGGGGATCAGGAGAGGGTAGGGGAAGGCAGGACGCAGACAGATTACCTGTAATTCCTAACCTCTGTGTAACGGAAATGTAATGTACTATTTGATGTTGACAGGAGAGAAGCCGTACGTCTGTAATTGGGAAGGGTGCACCTGGCGGTTCGCACGCTCTGACGAACTCACGAGACACTACCGAAAACACACTGGTGCAAAACCGTTCAAGTGTAACGTCTGTGATAGGGCCTTCTCACGATCAGATCATCTCGCCCTACACATGAAGAGACATTGAGGTAAGGGAGATAACTCCATAAGAATTTCACAAAATATTTCTTTCACAGAAATAAAATGTGAGTGTGGCATTTCCATTTATTTCGTTGGTCATTCTTTTGTTATCTTCTCTAATTTTCAATGTTTTATTTTCTCACATAATTGTTATTTTTGTTATTTTCTCACATAATTATAATTTTTCTTTTAATTGTTGACTTATGTTTGATATCTTTCTATGTTGTAGGATATACTTAGTTCCAAGTAGATTCCAAATTCAGTGGAGACAATCCTCCATTTTAAATGGTCGTCATGCCAACCAAGTCCACCAGCGATAAACCTACGGCTGCTGCCTGTTGAACTGCTGGTTCAGTTCATATGGCCCTGATCATGGATATATGTCTTCGTTTTTGAAGACAGATCACCTGGCTCTAATCTTGGATGAAATTCTTGGTTAAAAATGAGCCTTAAGCTCAGTAATTGGGAGGATCAAATATGGCGACTTCAAGCATTGAGGCTGCACTCTGAGCTTGCATATGAACAGGAAGCTGTGTACTGCTGTGTTGCTAGGCAACAGCTTGGACACACACCTCTGCGTCATCTACAGAGAAGTTCTACATCAAACAAAAAGTTGGAGAATTTTAATTTTGACTTCAAGTCAAGGTTATGTCCCAAGTATGACTTGTGTATACAGGCTGCAAAGGCCTGCCCCTCATGTTTGATTGATAATGTAACAGGGAGCTAAGCCCCGCCCCCAGTGTGTGATTGACAATGTGCCAGGGTACAAAACCCCACCTCATAGTATGATTGCAATGTAAAAGACTGCTCATCGGACCCCAAAGTACAAAATGATTGACAGTGTAGATGGTAGCTAAGCCCCGCCTCTCGTGTGCATGATTGACAGAAGTGTAGACCGTACATCACCAGACATTCACACTCATCCACCTACAAAGAAAGTCATGTAACTAGTTCGTTTCCACTGCCAAAATGCCAATGAAAGTTGCTAACAGCCTTATGCAATCCTGAGAGTTCACGTAATCTGTGTTGGAGGTAGCACAGATACACACACTTGTGGTTGGCCGAGAAGTCACGATACACTCTTCATTCATCCTCATTCAAAAACTCCAGTGATTGATCGATGAAAGGATACTTTCTTTTTGAAGTGTTATTTTTTTGTGTGGATTTACTTTTTAAAAAAAAGAAGGAAGTATTAAGGTAAAAATATCTCGCTGAATTTGTTGTACCACTGAATTTTTTAGCGTTAACGATGTGAAGTTTTTACTACAATTCAAATTAGAGTGTAGTAAATATCTGATCTGTAATTTTACCATACATGTGCATTAAGTTGACAGATCTCCCTACCAGACTCAGTATCACCCATCCACCAGTAGTGATATTAAACCCAGCGATACAAAGCATAGTTAGTTTATCATATCTTATTAAACATTTTGTTTTTTTTAATTTACGAAGTCATGATTCTCGTTTCCAGATAAGTGGACTGAATCTCTACACAAGAAAAATTCTGAACTTTGCATACACAACACATACCAATAAATAAGTTCATAAATTTGGTGTAGAATTTGAAGTAACAATTAAATCCCAAGTTCATGGGAATTGGAAGAAACTTTTGACACTTTTCTTTCAAAAACCAGTTGTTTACCTATTTAAAAATATACAAGCTATCTGGTGTCGCGTTATTGCTAACCACTGCACCGGGAGTAGACAGATGGACAGCTTGGGTTGTAGAGGTCACTTCCTTGTGGACTTCCTGATGTACACACGGACAGTGTATGTCATAACTGGCTTAGTAGACACTAATGGAAGATGAGATTCTTCTTTATATGTGTAAATTTGAAAAATTAAAAAATGCAAATGTAGTGTTAATTTAGTATTTCACAGCAGACAGAAAAGGAGATTTTTTCATTGGTTATTTTTTTTTTTTCATATAGAAATTTTAACTTCCAAAGGTGTCCCAGTTAATATATCTGTACTAGCGAGTCTTGATAAAACAGGGTCAGGTCTGGGATTTGATAAGATGCCAAGAGTTTGTAAGACCCAGACAAACTAAGAGCTAAGTAGTTACTTATAAGCAATAGACCAATATCGCCCTGCTGTCTTCCCATCGGCAATAATAATCTGTACTAGGTTAAGCAATATTTTACCTGTTATAAAATGTTTGTTTTTCGTTAAGCTTATTTTAACTATATATATTTTACCAAGACGTTCTAGAGTTTTGGTTTTATTGACAGAGACGGCATCCCTCCCTGGTGTTGATCAAGAGGTTACGACCTTGTGTAATTTGAATTTCCTTCCAACCGAGTCTTGCCAGAAGTATTCTGTGATTCAAGTGCATAGTTTCCAGACATAGCTTGAAATTTTGTTCAATGAATAATGTTTAGTAAAAATAGATTAAATTGAGATTATTTTTACTATCAGTTTGACTTAATTGTTAATATTCATGAGAATTTTTGTTTTTTTAATTTCATTTTTTTCCTTACAATTCCTTCAGCTTCTTGTTCATTTTAAAGTGTCTCTAAAACATGAAAATGAATCAAACTTAACAAAAACCGCGAAATATATGTTAAGTTGAAAATTTGATTTATTGTTAATTAAAATAAAATCATAATGAAGCTTTGAAGAACGGTCGATTAAACATATTTTGATTGAAAATATAATTGAATGTTTTAAATTTGTTATTTAATTCTATCAAGAAACACTGTCATAGCTTCCCGAGTAGATTTCAAAATTTTGTTACAGAGTGTGTAGTTTATTTTAACGCATTTTACCTTAAGCAATAAACGATGCATATTTTGTCTAGGTCATGTTGAGAATTTTTGTTTCTGTTGTACAATTATGTACTGTTCTGTGCTTTTGTGTAAATTATTTAGGTGTTTATATAATTTAGTTATTTCTATGTTGAGTCACTGAAAGATGGTGCTAAATCTATATATATAATGTACAGAAACAAATTTCCTACAATCTGCGTCATAGCCTAATTTCAAAAGCAAACACCCATGTAACCTTGATTTTTCAGTCATCCATGTTTAATTCTCCTTATGATGTATCATTTATTTTTAAGCACCTTTATAACCCAAATTTTTTTTCAAAACATCTCAGTGCCCTTATTTTCTTTCAAGCATCCTTGTAACTAAGATTTTACCCATAATATTCACTTTCAAACATTTTTGTAACCCTGATTTCTTTCTGTTTTCCTTATTAATCCTTGTAACAGTGTAAAGTGCTGTATATAGAATCTTTGTCTTTATTTATCCTTAACTTATTTAACTGTAGCATTTCATTACAGAAATAAAAGATCAGTGCATTGTAAATACCAACGAACAGTCATGTCCCATTGCCAGAGGGAATACATGTACATTTGTAAATACCTGGTAGCAATGGATTTTTATGAATTGGAATGCAGTACATTTTTAAAGAAATATTCGTTATTATTTTGGTGGTAATGATGTGAATTTGTACCCTGTAGAACGTAGTGATAGAGTGAATGGTATTTCCATTGTTACTTGTTTTTTCCGTTTCAACAGCTTGTTTTATTCAAAATACTTGTATGTGTTTTATTTACTGTTGAAGTTTTCAATCGATAATGAATATCTTAAATAATTTAGAGCTTGATTCAGAAAAATCCATAGCTATGTCATCATTTACGGTTGATAATTCTCAGATGAACATGGTAACATACATAAACTCATTCACCCCTGAAATTTCATAGTGAACTATTCTAGCCTTTGAATTAGAACATTTCAAATGTTTCTTCAGGGGTATTGAGAATTGGTTTCAGTATTCAATTATTGTGTCTGCAAATGAAAAACAAATTGTAATTTTGTAGTTAAGGCTATCTTGTGTTAATCATTCCTATGTAAGATCACAAGTTCATCCCAATGAAATATTAGTCACAGAATCAACCCCAAGTTAGTTCATTGGGTCATAAGTTCATCCCCTGTAAGGTCATGGGGTCAATAGGTTCATCCCCATGGAAGTACAGGGGGTCACAGGGTCAAGTGTCAAAGTGCAATAATCCTCATCTATATCATCCCAGTTTGATGAACACTTTTATTATTGAATTTTTTGTTTGGCGTGCTAGTGATACGTTTTGTTAGATATTGTTACTGTGGTAACAAGTAGATTGTTATGTTGTTAGCGTGACATTGCGCGAGTGCTTGTTAATTGTGTGTGATTGGTAAGATTGCTCAAAGTTTTCATATGTGTCAATATGGAGAAACAGAAATAGCTGATGAAAGTACGATACAATAGCCATGGAACTCAAGTTCCAAATTGCCAAATTTTGGCAAAAAAACATGCATGAGAAATATTTGCCAAATTATTAATGTTTGTTATTTTTTTGCTGCTTCGTAAGGAAGAATCGAAAGCGAATTAAATGGTTTTCATGGTAATGAGCGACAGTCGGCCATTGTTGACAATGTGTCAACGGTCGGGAACAATCATTGTCCTCTATAATAAAAGTATATAGAGCTAAATCTTGTTGTCTGTTGTTTGTTCAGCTGGTTGAGATGGTTTTCATGTGCGAAATACTGGCTAGTAAGTGTCCAACAGTAGAGATGACAATGTTTAAGAAAGAAGTCAGTATTTGTTACTTCTGTTGTATACTGGGAAATTTTCGCTAAATAACCTTTCACCCTTCGCCAGAGTAATTCATACCCATGCAGTGTTAATTTCGCCTTCATATTTAATTGCAATGCATATGATGCTGTTTAGTAATTTTTCGTTATGATAAATTCGCCGCCATTAGGTGAAAATTAACCTGCAGCAAAAAATTCCCAGTATATCATATTTATCGATACAAATCATGGGGCATGTCTTGTGAAATTTTGTTGAATATTGGAGTAGTCCAAAAAAGAACTCATTCAATGAAAAGAGGAATAGACGACACTGATAAAAGTGTTCATTCATTTATGAATAACAAAAACAACCAAGTGCAGTAAAAACATTTTTTTATTCAAGTCTTTTTTGTTTCAAAGTTTGAAAGTTTGTTTGCTTATAACGTGGAAGCTAGATTGTTACTGTGTAAGTAAGTAGTAATATCGTAGTATCTCCACAGAAATTAAGTGTGTCAGGTAGGGACCCCCTAGGGGAGCCCCCCCAGACAACTACCGACCATCCTGGCCGTTCACACAGAGCGGGGCATCAATTCCAAAACGTCAAGTCTCCAATCGGGCAAGATACACTGAAATCAAGCTACATCAGGACAACAAAATGTGACTCGAGTAGAATGGGCAAGTGTTTTCTGTAACTATTTATACTAATGGAAAATAACAGTTAATATACTTTTAATAATATATAAGGAAAACAGTACTTGCTATACAATTCTAAGGGACTTCTTGAAATTGTATATAAAACGAAATAACCTCATATATCGATTTGTGAGGTACATTATTGAAATTCCAATTCTTTACTTAATATTAAATGGGATTATCAATATAAATTAAACACCCCTTGTGAGTAAATAATACACTTAAAAATGTAGCAAAAAAACTATTCCAGTCTGGTGGATTATTAGTACTCACAATAACAGATGTTCAGCAGGTTAGTCAGTTGTTCAACAAGCATAACAGAAAGAAATAGAGTCTGGACATCAACCAGGAGAGGAAGGATGAGGATTAATTAGTGAAGATGGCGATAAAACAGGAAAGAAGGGGAGATAATTAGGAAAGGGGAAACAATTCAGAAAAGGGGAGATTAATCAGAAAAGATGAAAGGACAGATTCGGCAGGAGAGAAATCAGGAAAAAAGGGAATCCAGATCGGGTAGGAGGGGGAAAAAATGCAGAAAAGAAGGCGAGATAAATCAAGATGGGAAATTATTCCAGAAATCAGGATAAAAGTGCATATACAGTTAAACTACATAATAATAGGTATAACAATGTAGTCAGAAAAGTTACTCGATATCAATTCAGTCAACAATGCAGAAAAACGGCAATAAAAGAAATGAGGGGGAGGGAACATTCCTAAAAAGGTGTTCTACAACCTCGGCATTATATGACCTTGTTAAATTGATCCAAGGTTATATCTTAGTACTGTAAAAATTGTGTCAAATTGAGGTATTTTGACCAACCAGACACTATCTTGCAATCCTCAGTCTATTGTCCTGTTTGGAGGTACTTTTGAAAGTCTATGGGACTACATACTTATTTGATTTGCTGTTTCTGTCCTGTATGTAGTGTTACACGAAAGTGTCCCAATTCGTATAATTATGCTCGTGTCAAGGAGTTACCATAGGTTAATCCAAGGGAAGTAACTCTACAAGGTATGTTACAGCCTGTTCATGGTCATCAACACAATCAAAAGCTGTTTCATAAAAAAAATTGCAAGCTATAATCTTCTTGCTTAAAATAGAAGCAGAATATGTAAATAATATACTACAATGTCAAAACTGAATTGGAGCAGATATAAGGTAGTAGCAATTTTTTTATATGTGGGGAATAAATATTCCTGTATTGTAACGAGTATATATTTTCGGTTAAATATGAATAGCATAATTTATTGCCATGAAAAACCAGCAAATTTAATATGAGGTAACAGAGTAAAAACCTGACAACTGAGGCGTGTAACAACAGGATTTTTTGAGAGTTTGACAACTACAGAGGATTATAATGACCCGGTTTTTAGAGTTTGAGAAGTATTGAGGATTGTAAGATGTCTGGGAGGATCAGGACGTTGAAGGGGGAGTGTCCTAGGGAGGCTGTGTTACCAGTGGGAGGAGCTTCAGTGGTTGTCATGACGATTCAGTCCAGAACTTACAGAGGACAACAAGAGATAATCAAACAAAACAATAACAATGGATTTCTTATAGGAGAGGCCTAATCGTCACCAGATCCTACTGAAGCTACCCCCATGGGGGCTACACCACTCCGGCAGTACGGGGGCCTACCTAGGGGTAAGTCACATTTTGTTGCAGTAAATCTTACAGACCACAGGTGTGGAGGATTTACCTGGCCTTAATTCATTCACCCCTGAAATTTCATAATGAACTATTCCAACCTTTGAATTGGAAGAGTTTAATGTGTCTTCAGGGGTGAATGAGTTAGTTCATGGTTCATAATCAATGAAGGACTGTTCGTAAACATGAGATGCTCAGTTTTCTGTTCTCAGTTAAATTATTAATATTTGTCTGATGAAACGATTCCACCATGCCACTGATGAACCGATTCCACCATGCCACTGATGAACCGATTCCACCATGCCACTTAGTACTTTACGAAGTTTCTTTCCACATGTGTAAAATTTCAGCACATGTATACAGTGTGCATATCATATCATAGAACGTGTACATGCATTCAAATAATGCTAAAATAACATTGATTCGATCTTCTTTGATTTAGAAACGCTACAGAATCCTAAAGAGAATGTCAAGGACATCATTTTTGAATCGTATTAAGTGGAGAAACAGTACCAAGTGACAACGCAGAGAACAACATCTGCTACTTCTAGTAAATTAGTGACGAACATTTTTTTTCAAAATTCAACTTTAAGGCAGAAACATCTTGCTCAATTTTCCGAAAATATGTATTGTGGTTAGCAAAACATTTAGTCCTTTGTACTAACCATTCATTGTCCAGACACGATGGTGTTGTGTCATCGAGATTAAATGTCAAGTCCAGTTTGTTTTAATGTCTATTTCGGGAATACCACCAAGCTAGGATTTTATTTCTTGCACTGGTCATCACTGACCATCCAGACCACTCACTGACCATCCAGACCATCCACTGGTCATCACTGACCATCCAGACCACCCACTGGTCGTCCCTTGACAGGTCAACTTCAGGAGTGTGGTCTTTTTTCTTGATGTGATTATACATCACATGTTGTCATAGGTCATAGGAATTCTTCATGCAAAATTCAACCAAGCAGAACACAGTTTTGATACAAAAGAAAAAAATCTTCTTTCTTTTCAACATGCTGATCGACAATTTTACATTCTACAGTTAAGTAAGAAAATAATCTTTGAAAATGATCAAACAGATATTGCTTTTTGTTTAGTTTCAATTTAAGTTTGGTTTCTGCTCAGTTCAATTCTACATTCGTAAGAATTCCTGACAAGTTATTTTCACATTTTTTCCATAAAACAATTCAATTAGAACACCAAATATGTGGTCATGGTAACCATGTCGACAGTTCCTGTGACCTTGACAGTCCTGACAAAGTCACAGAACACCAGCAGCCTTGATAGGAGTACTATCACACGAATGTATCTCCTCAGAGGGAGGGCGGGGCCTCATCCTAATATACATCATCAACTTATCATACGTATTATTTTTGCTCATCACTATGGGAACACAACGACAAACACAAGACCAGCACAGATTGCTCACATCTAAAGTAATAAAATGATTGAACTCTTTATAATATAAAACATTGTAAAACTATATGTGTTAAAAAGCATCAAACAGTCCATGTCAAAGTCTACTTACTCAGCAAATTACATTATGCTATTCCGTCTTTGCGTATTGCAGAGTTATCTTCTCTTGTGAGCACGTATTGATTGTTACGTCATTGATTTGTGTGAGAAAATTATGTTATTTTCTCAAAAATTGATGACGTTACTCTCACAAACAAATGACGTAACAATCAAAACCTGCTCACAAGAGAAGATAACTCTGCGATACGCAAAGACGGAATATAATGAGGGGATGAATATTCATCACTGATATAGTCATGTTTAGTTATCAGTATATGAATTTTTTCCTCAAAAGCTAATATTGATCTCGATTTATTTGAACAGTTCTATTGAATTCTATTCTTTTACAACAGGGCTGATCATCTATTCTGCATCATATTCTATGGCATTTTAACTGGTTTCATATCAAGCTCGACCGCAAATTTACAATCAATTAGACTGCAAACTTAAAATATTACACATCCTAATGGTTGCGCTATCGCTTACAACATCAACAAATTAAAAAACAAAATAATAATCTGGACATCAATTAAAAATTTAAAAAAGATGTACTACATCAGCACGTAAAAACGACATGGACAATACTTGGTTTAACTCATTCACCCCTGAAGACACATTTGAACTCTTCCAGTACAACGGTTGGAATAGTTCATTATGAAATTTCTGGGGTGAATTAGTTAAGGGGAGGTAACTACGGAAGGCTGCTGGTGCTCTTAGTGTCTACTGCATCTGGTGGCGGTCACTGGAGTCCCCTGCTGGTGCAGAGTAACTCCTGGCTTCCCCGGCGGGTAGGGGCATGCTCCGCACCTCCATGTTGGGTGGGGGGAAGTTCATGTTGTCTCCTGTGGGTGGCGGATAGTTCCAACCACTGCTGGTATTTGGAGCGTTTGGTCCCCAAATGTCAGCCATGGAGTTGAATGGGTTGAATGTTCCCACATTTTCCTGCAAAGAAAAAGGGAATGTTAATGTCGAAACCATATTAGTTCATTACATATGCTACTGAACTCTCTATTACTTCAGTTCCTCAAATAAAATTGAACAATCAAATTCAGATCTCAGATCTAAAAGATATTTAAAAAAAAATTGAGAGTGCCATCTCATTAGCATTAATTAAGACTGGAGTAGTTTTTTTTTTAATTTCTCGATTCATGAAGATTTCCTGTACTATTCCATAATGTACAGATTTTTTTTATAACTATTCAAGTAAAACTTAAGGTTCCCAACTATTAGGGGTCACCTTGTAGAGTCAAACTTATGAGCAAGTTTTTGTGTTTGGGTCCTAGTACATTTAAACTAACCAGCAAGCCGTTAGGGGTTAGCTGGTACAGTATAACTTACGGGTGAACCGTTAGGAGTTGGAGAGTGGTTCGCATCGTTGCCACTGAAGCTCTCGGTTGTCATGGTATCGGTGGAGGTGGAGACGGGCGTGTTGCCGCCCCAGCCGGAGGTGAAGGACATCAGGGAGTTCCAGCCAGAGTTAGCACTGTTTGTCAGAGTGCTCCACAGACCTCCACTCTGTCAACATAGAACAGAATAATAATATATCGTAAATCTCATACGTGTCCATCTCCTGATAAAGTGTAAGGTCACATAGGCATTTTGAAAACACAAGCAAACCTGTTCATGAAACGACCTTCATTAAGAGGCCACCTATGATATAAAGACTACTTTTAATGTTCCCCATCGTAGCAATTCCATTGTGAAATAAACCGGTAATATAAAACCACTTTTCCACTTCCCAAGGTGGTCTCATTTACAACATTTATTGTAGATTGTTTCTTATGATTATTTTTATTTATTGACTTGCTACCTGCATTTCATCTGTAAGGAGGGAAGAGAGGTTCTGTGCAAGTAACTGGTATTCAGCAGTTCAAAACTATTCATGTTATATATAAACAGGTCATTGGGGAAGCATTCCTTCTCGTCATTGTGTTATTCAGTAAAACAGCCATGTCATATCTTTGTGTATGAACCAATGTAATGACCTCTTGCAATGTCATATAATTATGTCACAGTTTCAGAATATGACTTTACAAAAGATATAGAGCTAAGATTACTGAGTGATAGACTTCAAGAATGACAAGGTAAAAAGTGTTTTTTTTTTTAAATAATCACAAAAAATCTTGATCAAGTGATAAAAGATAATCTTAAATTTGCTTGCAATTCATATGAGATTGATGAAACCACTTGCTTTGGCTTGCTAAAATGATAAATTAAAAAAACATTATTCATGTAAGATCATATACATGTGAAAATTTACTCGGGAATATTATTTAGATGTTATTGAGTACGTACAGAGGAGGTTGGTGGAGAATCGGTGGTAGTAGACCATTGGTTTCTGTTGTCCATTGATTGGTATTCCGAGTCCCACAGGCTCTCACTCCTTACGGCGGGGTAGTCAAAGCCGGGCCATTCTTGTCCTACAGTCAACATAGGGCTTATTTAGTACAGAACGAAGCCAGATCTACACTTTGGACTGTGTACTGCCTCTAACTAATTCACTTCCTAAAAGTTTTGACAAGTTCTTGTTCATTGCAGACCAATTTTACATTTGAAGAATCAATACAAATAATTGTGAACAAGATATTTATAAAATCAATATCCCCTACTTCGCCAAATGCTTGTTCAAAAATTTGTTTCATTTATTTTTTTCTTTCTTTACACAGTTGGTTCAAAATCAATTCTCATCTCTAGGAGGTAATCTGAATCTCAATGTGTAGTTTTTGGTTATACATGCACATATAATGTTCAAACATACACAACTGGAGGTTAGTGTTCCATTGTTCGACAAGGGTAACACTATACATTATAAGTACAGCAACACTTTGTGGCAGGGGATAACATCTGTCTCAGAACACAGAACACCTGTCGCAGAACACAGAACATCTGTCTCAGAACACCGAACACCTGTCTCAGAACACAGAACATGTCTCAGAACCCAGACCACCTGTCTCAGAACCCAGAACATCTGTCTCAGAACACAGAACACCTGTCTCAGAGCACAGAACATCTGTCTCAGAACACAGAACACCTGTCTCAGAGCACAGAACATCTGTCTCAGAACACAGAACACCTGTCGCAGAACACAGAACATCTGTCTCAGAACACCGAACACCTGTCTCAGAACACAGAACATGTCCCAGAACACAGAACACCTGTCTCAGAACACAGAACATCTGTTGATCCCTGTGTAATCGACTAACATGTTAGACATTTACCCTTCATGAATCTGATCTGGTGCTCCTTGACGCGGCGACGTCTGTCGGCCATCAGCTTCTGCATCATGGTCTGGGGCTGGTCGAATCCAGGTGCGGTGGTGCTGCTGGCAATAGACGTAGGCGTGGTAGGCGTTGTGGGGCTGATGCCTCCGCTTGTGGTACCAGTGGGACTATAGTTGTACAGGGGCGTGTCCGGGAATACTGTGATCAATACAGATATAAAATTGATAACAAACTGTGGGTCTTTTTTTCTTCAAAATAAACATATCATCTAGTACAAAAATACATAGTCCCTAAACTGTAAGCAACCATATAAGTAACAGCGCTTGTAACCACAGATCATACTTACCCTCTTGACTAATTTGAGCAGAAATTGGGAAGAGCTAAATTGCCTTTGCCTCTAAATGGTGAGTCATGTCTTAGGGGAGGCAAAAGAGGAATGAACTAACAACTCATATTTATCCTGTGGTAAGCCCAGGGGGACAACACATAATTTCTGACTCAAAGCGTGTGTTTAGGTTTTGATACTACAGTACAATGAAATAGCTTTTGTTGGCATTTCTACGAAACTGCATAAGATATGGGTGGGCTTATTACCAGGCATTGGCTTATAGCCAGATACGTATGGTACATATATATGTACTTGTGTTTCAAAAAGGGTCTGTCCTGTTAAATGGAAGGAGATTCGGGGGGAGCATTTACCTGTGTTTCCAAATGGAGTGTCCTGTTGAGCGAACGGGTCAGATCCGGATTCTGGTAAACCCGAGGTCAGGCGGTTCTCCTGGATTGTCTGTAGACCAAAACTGTTGTTGCTGCAAAACAAAATAGACAATGTTACTGAGTATTATTGGACAAAGTTACTTGGTACACCAAATATCACTGGAGGAACAAGTTAGTTCACTAGGGCCATTAGGTTCCTCAGTTCACTAGGGCCATTAGCTTCCTCAGTTCACTAGGGCCATTAGGTTCCTTAGTTCACTAGGGCCATTAGCTTCCTCAGTTCACTTAAGGCCATTAGGTTCCTCAGTTCACTAGGGCCATTAGGTTCCTCAGTTCACTAGGACCATTAGCTTCCTCAGTTCACTAGGGCCATTAGCTTCCTCAGTTCACTAGGGCCATTAGCTTCCTCAGTATTGAAGAACTAGCTTAGCATCAAGGACAAAGCAAGATTAAAGGAAACAATTTCATTTCAAATAACGAAACAAGTTCACTAGATATCGAGAAATAGGTTGACTTGGAATAAGCTCACACAGTATTTGAGGAACATATATACAGAATAAAGTTTACTGTGTGTAATGTTACTTATTCCATTGGATATGAAGAACAAGTCTACTTTGTAGGGAGAAACAAGTTCACTAAACAATATCGTTAAATAAGTAACAAAGTTCAACCAATACCAGGTATACAGGAACAAGTTCACTCAGCATAAGATAGGGGAGAGAGTAGCACTACAGACATTTTTTGACCATTGAAGATGAACACTAGGTATGCTTTACTGAATCTTTCCACTTACACAGCATCTGGTGTAGATGGTGGGCTGTTTTTCCAAACGTTACTACGGGACTTGCCAGCTCCAACAGGGGCAGATTTCGCCTTTGTACCAATAGCTGCTGTAACAAAGCATTCAGAAACTTCATAACTATAATTAGTTAATGAGAAAGAACAGAAAAAAATACAATCGCCGACTAAATCCTGAAAATGACACATTTTAAAGAAAGGAATAATCAGGCTAGACATATGAACTGTCATCATTTCCATTTCCTAGATGACAAGGATTCATGAATGGATTTTTTAGCAAGTGTCTGAAATTTGTCCATTCCATAATTTATCATATCCCATAAATTTTACACATCATATTGAAGAATTGAGGTTAAAACTTTGTCAGTGCTAAAATTCCATTTACACTGAACAAACTTATCAATTTCAAAATTACTTCATCACTCCATACTTTTGTGGCAAGATTCTAGATCTTGTGGTTAATTATTGGGATTAAATCCTGAGGGGAAAATGAGTTTGCCCATTACCTGGCAGTACAATGTCACCACAGAAGGGCACAAAGCCTGGGGGGAAGCGCTTTTCATTGGCCTTTGGTTTGGTCTGTCCGTTACCCTCGGAGCTGTTGTTGCTGACGATACTGCTATAGCTACTGGAGCGACTGCTGCTTGTCAAACCGTCCGGAGAGAAGCTGAAGCCATTTGTTGTTGGTGTTTTCTGTTTCTGGGCGAAATTTTCAGTCTGGATGGAGAGCTCACTCAGGTCTTCTGCAAAGGGAGGTTACTCACTCATCAACACGTGCATCAACAACACAAGTGTTTAAATTAAAGAACTTGGACAGCTTCATTCTCTGTACTTTTCTATCTTTTTTTCAAGTAATTCTTTTAATTTTTGATAATTTGTGAAAATTCAGGTTAAATTGATTTGTCACAGTGAAAAGAATGATTTCAAGTTTGCCAAACTGTAAATGTCACTTTCTTTTTGGAATTATTCTTTAAATGACTGACAAAGAGAATAAATGAAACAATAGCAGTAAAAACTGTGTCGGAATAAATATTCTCTAGTGTTTTGACTGTTGAATTAAAGCAAAAAGATACATGTACATTGTATGTAAATCTTTAAGTATGGCGATTTATAATAGAGTGTTGATAAACATCCAGACTTTTACAGAAACAGTAGAATGGAAGCCAGTAACCATTCAGTCACACCGCTATAACCCTGCAAAACAGAAAGTGTCGCTACAAATTTATACAGCTACACTGTATCTAGCACTACTAGGCAAGGTTGGGGAAAATGCAAAGGTAATAGCAGCAAAACATGCAAAATTTGCAATACAGGTTTTATGAAGCACATGATACACATTCTATGGCAAGGCATGTGGTCAGTCACATGACAACTCATGCAGAAAGTCACATGACCACAGCTAGCTTCATGCTTTCATGCCATTTCAGTTTTGAATATGTATGTCTACCATCTGATTTCTAGGACTCTGTTTTCATAAAAACATATCAGATTCTATGCTGAGATCTTTTCCTAGTTTATATGAGAATTTATTTTTTAACTTTTAAGATATGTCCGTGTTTAGCGGAGATTTCTATCAGAGTACCATATCAATATAAGCATTTACTTTGCGAGTCTATCACAAGACCTTTCTACTTAGAATAATAGGTTGAAATGTTTTCACGATTACACGACAAAGACTAGGTTCTAACCTAAGTGACACGTTCAAGTCATATTTCAATATTTATAAAAAATGTATGACAATCAATATTACAACTAACATGCACTATAATCTCGTTAACAAGCCTGATTTGAACACTGAGTACTGAATCAACTGTGACATGTAAACACTGTAGAGTTGTTACTATCGAGATAAAGAAAGTTCACGAGTAAAGGTCGAAAACAGAGTCTGTAGTTGCCTTGATTTCAAGTTTAGGTAGTATGTACCATCGGCTTGGTCAATAAATTTTCTGTTTTTAAAGAGAGCACAGAATTGTATTTTAGTATTTCTGTTAGCTACAGAGTATAGTATGAGGAAAATGGACAGTGTGTGAAATAAATGGTAGCTCCAGTAACCAAATTGAATACTGTTACAGGTCAATGTAGTCAGACTGTATATCGGTGATTTCTTTACCCAAATTGAACAACAGCTGACGTCTTCTTAAAAATGGATAACATACAATATTGGAAAGATATTCCTTTTACTTTTCTTCATTTTGGGAAAATAAAGCTTTTTTTTTTTGCTACAGAAAGCAGCCTATTTTTGGCTGTAAAACAAGACAAAAATAAAAAATATCTCAGTACAGAAAATTTCACTCCTTTCTTAATTAATGAAAATATACAAAATGGTCAATGGGGCTAACACTTACAAGTTCGCACACTATGGTAATGCCCTACATTTTGAGTAATGATCCCATATAAATATTTTCTGGTTAAATGTGTCTACCAGTATATATATGTACCCAGAAATACCACACATACCCGACGTTGACGAGAATTCAAATCTAGGAAAGCTGCTGAAATGGTAGCCTGCAAAACACAACAAAACTACTAGCTAATCTACTGTTCTACCGTTTACCGGAAATCTGGGACAGTTGTTTGAAAAAACAAATCCATTGTCTTCCGAGAGAGAGAGAGACAGAGAGAGGGAGCAATGCTAAGGCCGAGAAGTTAGTTTCCATCACCTGTCTGTATATCTACTGTATGGCGTTTACTCTGCACCACCCTATCTAACAGATATTTAGCGAACCTAGCTCTATCACCTGGCTTTCATGCTGTGTGTCTGGTACAAGATATCAAGCATTGATATATTTCCCTACACAAAGAATCACACATTTTTTTTTATTAATTTATAATTGAAGGTAACCTATTTACCAATAAAACAGTTAACACTGATGTTTTTTGCTTCTTCAATAATAAAAGTGCACCTGTTTATTCTATAATTTAACAATGATGTGCAAATGACAGGTTTTCAGTTATTGTTTTCAAGATCAGAGTTTTTCAGCAAAAGTGTGATTTCATCAGGAACAACATAATAAATATCAGAAGCAGAAGCAGCAAAGTGTGTGTGAGCTGCGGTGCTGTACAGCTAGGCGGCTTGTACCAGGCAATGCAGTCTGGCCGTGTTAGGTGCCAGAAAAGCTTGTCAGAGAACATGACTGACCAGGTCTTGGGCCCGGACTAGGTGTGTCCCAGTTAGGCGTGCTGTCACTTTCCTCGCTTGAGTCCAGTCCCGGCCAGGACGAAAGGAGCAACCCTAGACAAACACAACAACATCCACACTCAGGCTGGTGGACATGCATCCCATACTGTCACTCAACCATGTAACGCCTTGATACCACCCCAGTCAGGTCAGGTCAGGTCTCCATGCCATCCTAACCATGCCAGACAATGACACCAAATCATGTCTTGGTTTGGTGCCATCCCAGGTATGTCAGGTATTGATGCCATCCTAGCCAGGTCATGCCTTTATACCACCTCAGTTCTGTCAGACTCTGATGGCACCCTGATGACGTCAGGTTTTGATGCCCCCCCCCCCCCCCTCCCCCCAATCCTGTCAGGTTTTGATGCCAACTCAATGGCATCTGTTTGTGATGCCACTTCTTGATACTACTAAGTTCTTACTTTATTGTTAACAAGATATTAAATCATCAGCTGATGTTACATGTCAACTTGCTAACAACACTTATCAAACAGTGTTCATTTAGTAAGAGACTGTCACTGCTGGTCATTTTTATTTTGTCCAAGACCTGGTGTTTGTTCACAGTTGTATGGTCAGAGAATGTCCTTACTGGTCAATTTTGTTTGGTCAGTGAATGTCCTTACTGGTCAATCTTGTTTGGTCAGAAAATGTCCTTACTGGTCAATTTTGTTAGGTAAAAAAATGTCCTTACTGGTCACTGTTGTATGGTTTGAGAATGTTGCTGTTTGTCAATGTCGACACTGGACGCTCATATTACCCATTTTAAGTTTTAACCATTTCATGCAGACTTCATGTGGTATACAAATAAACAAAGCCCCCGACACTTCTTTGTTGTGTAAACTTATTTTCAATGACAGCAAGGGTCAATAGAATTTTAATACATAAGTAGAGGTAATTGGAGTTAGGGATTTTTTTCTATATGCGTTTCAGGTATACCTACCCTAGATATTTCCCTGCTGACCTTAGAAATTGAATCACCTACTTGTATCTAAGATTAATTTATAAGCCAAGCAAGGCTCACAGCCACTCATTAAAATGTACTTTCTTCTTGTTCTGGGAGTCTGACCCTATTCTTCACAAATTAACAGGCATTACAATGTGTGGAAATGTATTGTAAAATTTGATATACCGGTAAAGCATAATATTGATCCATGAAAATGACAAATTAAAATTAAAATGACTTATTTGCCTACAGACCAACCCTATTTTTTTTCATGGATGTTACCTGAATCACACATCTTATTTTTTGGGCCTTATATGTCTGGAGCAGAAGTTTGAAATTTGATAAAGAAAAATCCGAAAATCTCAAACATTGAGGAAAAAGAAACTTTGATATAATGTCAATCATTTCAATTGAGGAAAGTGGTAATTCCAAAAATAATATTCTAATAAAAACTTTTGGAATACATAACTTAAGCAGAATGAAAAACAACTTGTCATAAATTTGACTTAATTTTGGGGGAAAATTTCTCTTTAAATATTGCTTCAAATTGTCTGAAACTGAGAGATATTTGAATTAGCGCTTGACTTTTATCACAAATCAACCCATTCAACCCTCAAATCACATTTGAACCTATCAAATCAAAGACTGGGCAAGTCCAGTTTAAATATGTAGGGGTGAATGAGTTAACACTAACTCACAAAATCAAAGTGACTAATGTGACTTAACACACAAAGAAATAAATAGAGTCAGGATTTTTCTTTCTCTCAGAAAAAACTCAAAGCTCCAGATTTACAAGGTTCTTATGCAACAGACCACTTAACTTAAACGTAACTGTGCCCTGAAGATGGCCTCCCTTTGGCCGAAACACGTCAGCACGTAGGATGTAAATCAAACATTACATTTTGTACCGGATTCAGTGGTGTTGTTGCTCATCATTTCTACTTTCATTAACAAACCACTTAATGTTTTTATTTTTATTACAAGTTACATGAATAATTCGCAGAAAAGATAAATGTCGTATATTATTTGCTTTGTTATATATGTATACTGCATGGAAGCCTTACAAGCACTGTACATGATCAATGGTTAGAGGAGACTATGATAGGCCAAGAAAATGTGTATCTCTTTGCCTGCTGTCAACAGCAAATCCTGAACACCTTTCCTTAGCTCGCTGTCAGTGGTAACTCCTATCTCTCAAAGAAACTGAAATTACTTACATTTTCTAAAAGTAAACCCCATTCCTCACTACCCACAATTCCCCTGCCTTGTTTCTGGTATACAGAAGTCATGTAACACAAGTTATATTATCACAGTTTTAGTTGGTGCATTTTATAAAATTTTGAAAGTTGCACAGAAAATTATAATGCACATATCCTTCATTACATTAACTGACCATGGAAACTTTCAAGGATGATTTTAAATTAAAAGAAACTGAGATAGATCTTAATATAGCTGAATTTGAAAAAGAAAATTTCTTAAAATAAATAATCTTTTCAGTAAAACCACCTGTCATCAATCAACAGCCTACTCAGCAGGCAAAGAGATATATTTACGTGGATCGTAACATTCCAGGCTAATAAATCACATGACAATACAAACATGACCGGTCCGTCCAAAAACACAAAACATAATTATGTTTAAGCCTTTCCATATAGCTGAACTGGAGTTGAAATTCCCCCTTGTCATATATTTCTACTCTACGTTCTGAAGGAACCATTCTTCTAACCAAACATCGATATTAGCAACAGACAACACAACATTTATTATTATATCGAGCCAAAACTGTTAAAAGCGCTATGCTATTAATCTACCATTAATGCATTGGCGGTAATAATTCGGTGACGTTCTCCTATAAATCACGAAACATGTCAGATTCATTACGAACAAAATCTCATGCATCGTCAAATTAAAAACAGAATTCATTTGTTTTAACAAATAATTCAAAACAGGATATGGAAGAACTTAAAGAGACACGATACAGTGGTGAAAGATGCATTCAATATCTCAACATTCAGGCAATCCATTTTTATACTATAACAAATACTAGGCGACATGCAGTGGAAATTAAGGTGACGGCTGGTTTTAAATTGCAAGAAATACAGGAAAATATCAAAAATACAGCATTGTAGAGGTGTAATTATTACCTAATTACAAGTGTATAACGAAATCATTGACCAAAAAAATAAAACTAAGACTATATCACTCTAATCTACAATTTGCATTTCACATTAAGGACTGTGATTCAGTTGCATTACTTGGGGATTGAGCAAAAATTAAAGTTTAGTTTTTTTTAATAGGATGGGTATGTGGGACAAAAATTCTGATTGGTTGGTTTGAAAAAAAAGAAAATCGCAAACAGATTCAACTCTTGAAAAATCCACTAATACAGCACAGGATGTATGTGATATCATCAAATGTCTAAAACAGAGTAAACTAAAGTAGTGGGGACAGAATTTTTTGTGCAATAAATGCTAAATTTGTCTTACCTTTAGCTTGGGCTTTGGACTTTCCAGGTTTTCTGTTGCTATCGGAGGAGCTGCTTCCATTTTTAAGCTTGTCTGCTTTGTTTTCCAAGTTGTATGGTAGGTCGTAGGTACTGCACAAGCACAAGACTTACAATTAAACGTGAAAATCTAAGAGATATTTGTACAAAGTCACAGTGGCCGTTTTAGGTACGGTTACATGGTACACATGGGGTAACAGTTAAAACTATCAGGCATTAGGTAAAACCTATACCTTGTACATGTATCTAATATCACTGGACATTTTACATACATTTTCACTATTTTGGAGGGGGACTACCGATTGTGGACCCTGAAATTGAGCATTTTCAACCAGAGAATTTGCTAAACTATTCCTATTTTCTAAGGTCTGATGGTTTCATCTGAAGGAACAGCTACAAAGATGCTATTTATAGGTGTTATTTTTCCCTAGGGTGTATATACACAGATTTTATTTCTGAGCACGCATAATCTCCCCCATGGAAATTTCAAAAAGTTGGCAAGTATGATTCGAAGCCAAAAGAATTGAAGAAATTGGCATGAAGGATAAGACTTTTGATAATGGTACCTGCGTATGCGGTAGGTAGTAACCACTGTCACATTTAATCTCAATAATCATTGGAAAAAATTGTCCAACAGAATTAAGATGTGGGCGTTTCATCTGCATTCTTGTTGATAACATATTTTTTCTTTAACCCCCCCCCCCCCCCCCCCCCAACTAAAAACGAGTTTGTTAAACATACATATAACCCTACTCCTGCTTTGATGAAAATGGAGCAGTTTAATTAAAGAAATTCAGTAAAACACAAAGTCTAACCTAAGAAGTTAACTCATTCACCCTTGAAGACACATTTGAATTCTTCCAATCAATGGTTGGAATAGTTCATTATGAAATTTCAGGGGTAAATGAGTTAATGAGATTAAAAATAAATGTTATCTGCATTTAAGGTATTTATATAGTACATGTACTCCTAAAAATAAACTTGCACATATAATTCAATGACTGTTGGAGACTTCTAATGATAGAAAGTCAAACAGAGACATTGTAATAGGACGGACAGATGGAAAGGTAAACACTAAATGGGGCATATGAAAAAACATATGAAAGTTGTACTTACTCTGGCATGAGAATATTGCCACCATAGGCGTCCTTAGAGCTGACCTTGATCCTTTTGTGGGCCTTGGATTTGGACGTCAATTCAAATTCGTCGTCATCATAGGTATCGTCATAGTGACCGATCATTTTTACAGTCCGGGCTTTAGACTTAGTCTTACGTGGTTTGGATGGTGGGGGCTCCGGAGTGGAATCTCTAGCACTTGAGCTCTGTAAAGAAAAAGAAAACACTCATTGTACCATACAAACATTTCAGCTCTCCAAAGAAAAGGAAAAGACCTTCAGTATCATACCAAACACAGCTCTGTAAAGAAAAAGAAAATACTCTTTGTACCATACAAACATTTCAGCTCTCCAAAGAAAAGGAAAAGACCTTCAGTATCATACCAAACACAGCTCTGTAAAGAAAAAGAAAATACTCTTTGTACCATACAAACATTTCAGCTCTCCAAAGAAAAGGAAAAGACCTTCAGTATCATACCAAACACAGCTCTGTAAAGAAAAAGAAAATACTCTTTGTACCATACAAACATTTCAGCTCTCCAAAGAAAAGGAAAAGACCTTCAGTATCATACCAAACACAGCTCTGTAAAGAAAAAGAAAATACTCTTTGTACCATACAAACATTTCAGCTCTCCAAAGAAAAGGAAAAGACCTTCAGTATCATACCAAACACAGCTCTGTAAAGAAAAAGAAAATACTCTTTGTACCATACAAACATTTCAGCTCTCCAAAGAAAAGGAAAAGACCTTCAGTATCATACCAAACACAGCTCTGTAAAGAAAAAGAAAATACTCTTTGTACCATACAAACATTTCAGCTCTCCAAAGAAAAGGAAAAGACCTTCAGTATCATACCAAACACAGCTCTGTAAAGAAAAAGAAAATACTCTTTGTACCATACAAACATTTCAGCTCTCCAAAGAAAAGGAAAAGACCTTCAGAATCATACCAAACACAGCCCTGTAAAGAAAAAGAAAATACTCTTTGTACCATACAAACATTTCAGCTCTCCAAAGAAAAGGAAAAGACCTTCATAATCATTCCAAACACATCTATGTATAGAAAAGTTATCTCAAGGATCTCCGTACCACTGTCCAAAAAGTTATCTCAAGGATCTCCGTACCACTGTACAAAAAGTTATCTCAAGGATCTCCGTACCACTGTACAAAAAGTTATCTCAAGGATCTCCGTACCACTCTCCAAAAAGTTATCTCAAGGATCTCCGTACCGCTGTCCAAAAATTTATCTCAAGGATCTCCGTACCACTGTACAAAAAGTTATCTCAAGGATCTCCGTACCACTGTACAAAAAGTTATCTCAAGGATCTCCGTACCACTCTCCAAAAAGTTATCTCAAGGATCTCCGTACCACTGTCCAAAAATTTATCTCAAGGATCTCCGTACCACTGTCCAAAACTGTATCTGTGCATTGGAAAGTTTTTCCGGCATGAATACAGCTTTGATAAAGGATTTTTGAATAGAAAAGTATACCTTGAGGGACTTTTATGAAAAATAAATGAAAAAGATCAAATAAACAAAATATATTCGACAAGTGTTTTGAGTGTAAAAAGCCTTTGTGGCTTGACCAGGATTCGAACCCTGGACCTCATATTGTTATACTCTATACAACTACGCTCCCTGATCAACTGAAGTGAACTGGCCCAATTCACTACAGTAATATCCAAAATGAAACTAAGGGGGAGATACTCTATATACGAAAAATTCCCCTTTAGTAAGTTACTGACCTTCTCGTCACCATCTCCCACTGACGACTCTGTCGTAGTCGAGGATGTCTCGTCTTTGTCATCGGAGATGTTCCTCACGTATCTGTTGACGGGGATCGCATCTCGTTCTGAACGTTTCATTCTTTTCTTGCCTTTATTCTTACCTGTTACAAACCAACAAATTCAGTGAAGTTTTATAAATTACTGACACAAAAGGTTTTGCAAAGGAAGACACATGTTTTCATTAATCGTAACTTTCATCCTATTTTTTAAATTTAAATTTTACAAAAGCAGACCTTCTAGCCTCCCTTCATAAACCACAATAGTGAGAAACAGATGAAAGATAAGGACAAAAGTTTAGTACAGGATGGAAAATATATCAGAACTTTTTTAATAAATTGGAAATCTTGATAATCTGAGGCGAAAAAATAAATTTAAGAGACTATTGTATACAGGGATTTATTGCCACAGTTTGACTCAGTAATGAGGCTGAATTTAACATTACAGTGAATATTAGTAATCAAAAGGATATATATAGTAATTACATGTGAAGGGCGACATTAACACTGGGGGAGTATGAATTTCAACAACAAAGGGTCAAAGTTTCCCAGTATACAGTATTTCTGATTTAGTTTTACCGACATTTTTGCAAACGACCTGTTATCTGGTCAGACATTTACATATTTCATTCAGAATTGATGTTACAGTCAAAGGTAGCCACGATTACTAATATGATCCTGAAAATATTAATACAAATTATGACTGGTGAATTATTCATCAACTATTTCACCATTTTATTTACCAATTCCAATCGATTGTACCCTGAAGATCAATTTACTGATTAAATTCACATATATATGCTTCAGATTTATAGATTGGGAGACATTTGTCAGACACTAACCGTCTATGGTCGGCTGAGAAATGCTGACCAAATCGTCCGGTAAGGTGATCTCGTCTAGTGTATCTGTCGTTGAGCTTGAGCGTGACTTGCCATATCTGTCCTGTTTGTCCAGTAGGGACATACGGACAGACTCGGGTAATTTCTTGTTGTTGTCCTGGTTTGGTGCCTCTTTGTTTCCCCCGCGTGACGGGAGACAATGATTCTCTGTGTTTAGGTGGAGGTCGTGTTGACGTCTAGCTGCCTTTGATTTTTTCGTCTTCTGTGCGGGTATGGATTTCTCAGATATAATGGATTCTGGTTTCAGAGAAGATTTCTCCTTCTCCTGGCCAGGTTTATAACTATTACATAAAGACTGTGTAGATTCAGCACAGTCTTGCGGCTCCACTTTCGGTCGAGCGGGAGCCCGCGAGGGTTTAGGGGAGAAAAAGTTCTTTGCGATACTGAGGAGGGTAGAATAGAACGGCGGAGTTTTTGAATTGTGTTCTACGTGACCATTGGCTAATTCTAGCATGGGCTTCGTACTAGGCGAGCTGCGCCCATCGGACAGCTGGGAAAGTTTTACCGGGGCGCAGCTATTGATACCTGCTACTTGCTTGAGATCAAATACTTTACTCTTATCAAAGGTCTGAGTGGAATTGCTGATTTTAATCTTCCTACGGATTATATCAGACACAAATATTCTATCTGCTTCGAAGTAAGCTGCCACTAAAATACAGCAAAGCAGGAAACCCATGGCACATACTATAGAGTAGTAGAGCACGGGCTCCCAATTAGGCCGAGGCAGGGCGGAGGAGCACTTGGATAGAGTGTGAGGTGGGACTGTTGCCTGAAGGGTGTAGTTAGCCGGTGCCCCCAGGCTTGTGTATACTGTTAGCGTCCGACGTATCCTCGACATCGTAAAGTCGGGGGTGAACCTGCAAATACAAATACTTGGGGTTATTGTATGATCCCATTTAAAACTGCAGCTAGACAGTGACAGGATTATCTACTGAGCTTATACATTGTGCTGTTGTTTCTATATCACATTATATAAACTGATACACGAATTGCTAAATGTTTGTAATATTTGCAACTAGATAATTGTGGCCTAGTTTTGGTCTATTTTCCTGTGTATAGGAAAGCTAAAGACATAGTAGTAGCGCTACTGCTATGCATAGTCTTCTCAGCATTTTGATATGAAGAAGTGTCCTGCATAAGGGCACACCTACTTAACAAACTCTACATGTTTCTTGTGCTCCAGAAGCTAACTTTAGCTTAGTTGACTCAAAACATCTACGTTTACCTTTATTTTATGAAAGATAAAGCTGAAATTGAATTTAGAATTATATTGCAAATTATATTTTCTCGTTTGATTGGCGCAAGTCCAGAAACATTTATGTAACTATAAACATGCTAAACTTAGTTTTCTCATATTTTAACTCAAAATGGTCTAAAACCAAATGTCAGCTACACACTTCTACTTTCTGTTTTAGAAAATGAGAAATATTGCTTTCTTGTGTTTTTTTTCTCTTTTCTGTAACATTAAATGTTGCACATAACAGTTGTTAGCGGTAGTTGAGGAAAGATAACCTCCCTTTTGTTTAAGATAAAATATTCTCCCCATTTAGGAGTTATTTCCCCTCTCCCACTTACACAACTTGCATGTTTACTATGGCCACTTTCGGTCATTGCGATCCATTCAGTTGAACCGGTTAGACCAGAGTTGTTAATTTATGAAATAAGGTCAGACCTAGTAATCTGATGCTGCTTTCAGGCGAGTCTTGACAAAGCCTTGCAAGGCCTGCATAAACATTTGCAGGTCCGCCAGGATTTATATCTGAAAATGTTACATTTGAAAACAGACAAACCGATTGAACCGGATATGCAAAAGGGCCTATTTCATTTCCCTAAAATCTCACCTTTTTGACAGTATTTTCTTACTTTATTTAATAAGGTAAATAGCTTTCAGAAAAATTGTATTGTACATTTCGCAGATTTTAAAAACTTACGCTATATCTATTTTCCGGCTGGTATTGGGGAGCATATGGAAGCCATCGCAATCGAGGACTCTAAAACCGTAACCTTCGCATGACGCTCCATTAATGCTGTAACCATGTACATAAAACGGAAGCTCTCCTGTGTTCTTCAAAGTAAAGGATCTTCTAACGGTAAAATTGGGCGCCATGCTTTTTGTGTGCTTCTTTTCTGTAGGGCAGAGACAGAAAAAATGACATTTGGAAATAATACTACAAGACTGTACTATCTATAGAGGCCCAAGTGGCCTGTATCAACTTTTAATTGACCTGTATATCAGGAATATTTTTACAAAGATCAGTCAAAATTAATAAGACCTACTTTGACTTGATTTGAAAACAAATAAAATTAGAAACTTTAAGATTACCTTGTATTCTGTTAAAATTCAGGCAGACATAATTGAATTTTTCTAATTTTCACATGAAAAAAATCAGTTCAATTTTTTCTAATTTCTACATGAACATTTTTTCTAAATTTACATGAAATACCATACTTACTATCACAATTTTTTAGGTGTTTTTCTGTCATATCAAACTGTAGGGGGATGCCGGAGCCAGGCTTTTTATTGCTGAGTTTCATTTCCCCTCGACCGCCCTGTCCTTGAATTACTAAAGCATCTAAGATAGTCAGGTTGTTCCTGATGAGTATTAGAGATGTTCGGGAAATATCATCCTTTGGGTGGAATCCAACTCGAACTTTGATTTTTACATCGGGACCTAAAACAGCTGTGATACTTTCTGGATGAGGTTTAACCCCAAATTTTTCCTCTACATTTTTTCTGAATTTAGGTACCACATTCTTTGGATTTGTCTGAAAATCAACAACAACAAATTTTTATGTCTTGACACCAGATCAAAATAACTTCAAGACATATATATGTATTCCTTGATTGATTGTTAATATAAAATAAAATTTCCCAAATAATATATGATCTGTATGTTTTAGAGTGTTTCAGTTTTTATCGCTCTGAAAATTTAGGGTTGGTCGGTCTGTGAAAGGTTTCTTTATATGCTCCAAACTGTCATTAACCCTTGTCACAATTGAATTGATGCTTTCAAGATCCTTAAATATTGGAAATTTCCTGTTGGTTAATCATATAAATACTCCTATATTTTTCAAAATTTGGAGTCTGCAGGAAAACATGACGGGCATTACGAGATTTATTTGTGTTTCTTGTCTTTGCGTTATGGATTTCTGTTTGAAGTCATAATCAAAATGCCACGTAAAAGATGTAAACGCGACGGAGCGCACAGTACTTACGTGGTATCTCTCCAAATCAGGAAGAGTAAAAATATCTACGTCCTCTGTCTCTACGTAGTCAGTGATTTCTGAGGATATTCTAAAAACAGAAAAAGAAAAAAAGGTTGACTTTATGACATGACAATCAATACGAGTACTACCTAACCTCCTATTACATATTGTACATATTAACTTTACAATAAAGGGGAAGATCAATAAGGGGGAACATTTTCCAAGTTAAACGTTACCTAGTTCAGTGTATACAGTACTATGTACCAATAATTATTAGGACCAGGGCCCGTATTCATGAAACCGTTCTCATGCTCAAGCCTAAATTCTTAATCGTGTTGTAACTTAATAAATAGATCTTGTTTTCTCAATGATTTGGAAACATTTTGAAGAGACTTGAAGCTAAATACTGTTTCAATGTTTACATTTGACATTTTGATCGTTGGAAATGATTTAAGCGAGTTACAAGAAAGTTGGTTTAAGCACAGAATCCATGCTTGAGCATGAGAACGGTTTCATGAATACGGGCCCTGGGCTCACACCTTGTTTGCGCACACGACTTTTAATGTCTTTTTTTTGGAGAACTTATCAAGAACTAATTTACTTTATTAAATCATTCCACTTTGGTGGCACTGGGCAACCTTTCAGAGAGAAGAAATTTGACACAGTGAAAATAACGTGGTTTATTGTACCTCCAATTCATCATATCCAGCAAAGTTTGAGCGTTCGGATACAAAGCTAGAGGAATCATCTGTATTAGCACTGGCGACGTGCCTGGATTCTCCACGATAAAGTCTGCCGTCTGTCAAAACGAAACCACACAAAACTGAATAATGATATACCGTAATGATATATAAGGCTATTAAAGCAATAGAAAAGATTCATAAATGTGTTAACAAATCTAAGAATCTGTTTATCATGTAGTTCCCTTCTAAAAATTCTAAAACATACATTCACATGATCAAGGCTTTCGGAGGACCCTTGATAGTTGTCAATTTCAGAAGTCAAATGACTTTTCCTTGAAATCTGAAAGGTCAAAACACAAACCAAACAGATGTGTCCTTTCAAACCCAAGCGTCAAAGATCATTTTTGGGAGTTAAAAACATACTCTTAAGGATCTGCTGATGTCCTGGTGAAATAGTGCAATTGTTGCAGTTATTGTCTGAATCTGGTATATGTACCATTGATCAGACCACCCCTCATTCAGGAGGTTTGAAAAACGAGCACTAGATGGTGGCGGAATGCTTCCTACGTTAATTTTGATTTTAGAATTCAAAATTATATAGTTCAAACAAAAGCTTTCAAACATATCCAGTCACTTACGGAAGAATTTCCGATCTGTGTAAGAGGAAATCGGATCTTGCACATCTTAACGAGCGATGGCCATTCCATGTGAGCCTGGGCCGAGTATAAAAAACCTCTGACTTCGCTCGTGTCCAACTCTATAGTAACGTTGGCTCTGTAAGCAGAAATGACAAAGGAAAGTGTATTTATTATAAGTATACCATCAACACAGATAGGCATAAAATATTTGTCTTAATGTCTGAACTTTATCTGATGACCTTTTTGCATGAATCCAGGGAATCTTTTAGAGCTTTGGGGACAAGGAAGTTAGTTTTGTTGACTCAATATGGAATCAGCAATACTGACAGAGTTAAGCCGCTGAAATCTTACTCTAAATATGAAGTTATGATCAGTTTACGTAGTTCTTATTCATAGAAACAAAAAAGTCATAACTTCAGTTACTTAATTCAGGTATATTCTCCAATCTTACTGGCAAAATGCAGTTTTTAATATATCAAAATTAATTAATACTGAATGGCTTAATTGGTACCTTTCTTCCTGTATTTCCTATCAGTCCTTTATGAAGTATAATTCGGTAAGCATCAATAAAGTCCAAATATTTCTCACACATTTTTCTTGTTTTAATTTTACAGTTTCTTAGTTGTAACAACCCAAATGGTATATACGACCTAAAAAACAAAATTAGGACATTGTAGACTTTAACACACAGCCAATGGCCAGTGACAATGAATAACTGGACAAGACAGCTCAGTATCTTTTTCATTTTTTCCTCTCCTTTAACTAGTGTACTTACGTATGGAGTCCTGCCTGCTGTATCTTATGCCATTTTTGCTGTAATCTTGTGAAAAAATATTGATCTGTATCTGCAACTTCTTTTTCTAGAGTAAGTCCAAGCAACCACTGATGTCCAGCTGTGGAGGAAAAATACATTGTAAGTCACAGAAAGTCAGTTACTGTGTGACAGATGAAGTCAGAGCAACAACTGATGTCCAGCTGTGGGGGAAAAATACATCGTAAGTCACAGAAAGTCAGTTACAGTGTGATGGATAAAGTCAGAGCAATAACTGATGTCCAGCTGTGGGGGAAAAATACATCATAAGTCACAGAATGTCAGTTACAGTGTGATGGATAAAGTCAGAGCAATAACTGATGTCCAGCTGTGGGGGAAAAATACATCGTAAGTCACAGAAAGTCAGTTACAGTGTGATGGATGAAGTCAGCAACAACTGATGTCCTTCTATGAATTCATAAGTCCAGGAAGAAATTACAAGTTGACATAAAGCTATTCTCTGTTTTAGTGGATACTAATGACCCTCTAATTCATGTACCAACGAAATGGTGATTTTTTGAGAAACCATGAGATTTGTGCCCCACGAAAATATATGATTTCACAGTAGTAGGTCACAGTGTATCAACTGCAGCTGACGGATTTGGTAATTAAAAGTCACATGGGGATGTTGTTGATGAAGCAATTAAACATAGAGATAACAAAATTCAATGATGAATGAAGTACATGTATTTCATAAATCTTTCTATTATGTACTTTTACAAACAGAAAAACTTCATTTATTATACTCCTTTGTTTGATAAATGTTTACAATTATCACCCGTTGGACATTTAAAGGATCGATATCAAGATCAAATTGAAAACCAAGCAACTGAAGTTCAGAGAGTATACATGTTTTATACATATATATTGGAATCTTGTGCCCAACTAGTGATGTTTAACAGGGTACTAATTTACATTTCACAAATTACTTACGAGGAGTGTTTAGCGGCAAGCCCACATAGCAGTCGTCCCCACATTCCTTTTTTGCATCAAAATAAACTCTGCCAACCTGCAACAGGTACCACATGGCAATTGTAATCATACTTACTCAGTTGCTCTTAACTCATTCACCCCTGAAGACACATTTGAACTCTTCCAATTTAAAGGTTGGAATAGTTCATTATGAGATTTTAGGGGTGAACGAGTTAATTTAAGGTACAATTCTTCGCAAAGAAAAATGCAATCATCTTGAAAAAAATATTTATTGCAAGTTAAAGTGTCTCAACAACTTACTACAAACACTTTGTTTTTCACCATTCAATTTAAAAAAACTATGTTCATTATTATTTGATGAACATTACATTTAAGAAATGTTAACCAAGCTTTTTAAACAAATCTGAACCTTTAAAAAAGATAGAGAAGATTCTAAATATTGCAATAAACGTACAATGTATATTGAGTCACCTTTTAGAGCAACATCTAAAATGGCCACCTGCTTTTAATGAAGTACATCAAATGCATAAAAATGTATTTTTTTTTTATAATTTATGATGATTGATGCAACTTGCTTTAGACTTTTTTTTAGTTTTGCTTGTTGTTTGTAATGAATAAGAAGGGAAGGCAAAACTGAAACTACAGTCAAACTCTCATAAATGGAACTTTGAAGATGGGAATTTCTCGGTGTGTCGAACTTTCGGCAAAGTCTATTTTTTTGCATATATGATACTACTGATATTCCATTACTAAATTGAACTTTTATGAGTCAAATTTCTCGCATGCAAACTAGTGTTACTGTATATATACAAATACACATAGAAAAAATCTCTGATTTCTTAAAATCCAATAAACAGGATCTCAAAGATATCAAAAGTTAAACATTTGTGAGGTGAAGTGTCAATGTTTCAAACTTTTCCTGATTGTCCCACAAAGTTCGAAATATCGAAGTTTGACTGTATACGAAAACCTCTAGTGACAAGCCGGTCGAAACTTACTACTGTATTATGTAAAGGTTCCAACACGATCCTGTCAGTGTTGGTGGGTTTGTAATAGAACCTAGGATCCGACGGCTGGAACGACACGCCTGTGACCGTCATGTACTCACGGAATGTACTGTAAATCTGCATTACCCGGTATGGAATATTCCCCTGAAACAGTCAACCACAAAACATTCAAATCTTGTTAACATTAACGTCTTAGGTATTTCCCCATGACTTAAGAGGTTAATATGAAATACTTAATTCATTAACCCTAAAGACGCATTTGAACTCTTCCAATTCAAAGGTTGGAATAGTTCATTATGAAATATAAGGGGCGAATGAGTTAAAAACAAAATGAAACAGTCATTTAGTTAGTTGAAATGCATTTCACATTACTGTATTTCAACACGGACTCCTAAGACATAGTCTTGAGATTTGTGGCTGGTGAATTTTCACAGAGCTATCTTGTAGATCCCGAAAATTTGTATCCTGGAGTTTTCAGCTGATGTATTTTCACATAGCTGACATTTTATTACCTCATTCACCCCTGAAGATACATTTGAGCTCTTCCAATTCAAAGGCTGGAATAGTTCATTATGAAATTTCAGGGGTGATAATTTTTCCAGAACTGATTTCAAATATTATTACTTACAGGGTATGCCTTGTCAAAAACAAGGGACTCTGGTATAAAATGCAGGCTCCCAGCTGCTGTTCTCACAGATACAGGGATCCAGATATCCTACAAAACAAAATCCAGGTTATAAATGGAACAGAGGTCATCATTGTTTTCAATGCCTCCACTATGAGTCGAACCTGGGACCTCTGGTTTACTAGTCTTACACTCTACCCAATGAGCTAAAGAGAAATTCTCCTTAGCTGAGCCGATAGGAAGCGGCTTGTATTTTACCAGGGTGACATAAATTCCGATGTATATACAAACTGGAAATTTATCAATACAATAGGACTGATTTAAAATTCACACTTTCACAAATATTTTAACATTACCAGTTAAATTAATTTCAATTCTGGAATGTAGTCAGTTCTAATTGAACCCCTGGGTTTAAAGCAATCCAAACAGTTAGACTGGTTGTATCAATATTGTTCCTTGACAGAGACTTGGAACTGTGAGATCTACATACATATTACTCCACCTAGTTTTAGCCTGACTAAGAAAAGGTCCCAGCTAAGCTTTCTTAGAATGAATTCTTACTTCAGATGATGCAAGAAAGAATGCAGTAAAATTTGAGCTACCAACAGTTAGACAACAAACAAGTACCTGGAACTGTGTTGTTATAAGCATTTCAGTAGAAAAGTCTCCTTCATAATCAGGGGCTGTTAAATTTAAGCTGAATACTGCAAAATGGTATGGTTTTATTTTAAGCTGCAAAGAAAGCAAAGCAGAATTAATGTTATATCAATAACACAATATGTAATATGCCAACAAATGAAAAAAGTTTCTAAAATTTAAAATAAAATGTTAATATTGAAGAAAGCCACAAACTAAAAAAAGAATTTGGGCCATACGATCCTTACAAGTAGAATATTTGAGATATTGTATACAAATTGAATATTTGAGTTATTGTATGACGGGAAGTTTTTCGCCACAGTTTAATTTTCACCTTTTTTTCACCCTCCGTAGCAAGGGCTTTATCATTTCAGTGAACATTAATGGGTGAAAATTATATTGAGAGAATATGGACTTCACCAGCAAAGGGTTAAAGTTTGACAGGGCAAAAATTACCCATTATAAAATAACCATCATCAATTCTAGGTATAAATTATGACGTAGCACATGACCTTAAGTTTCAGTAATTGCCACCAATAAGATCCTATAATATAGTTTCACCACAACATACCATCACATATGAGACATCTGCAACTTTTAACCGAAGACAAGCACAGTGGTGGATTGGAACAGGAAAGTCATTATTACAAAGGAGTTTCATTAAGACTGCAGAGGACTTACAAAGTTGTAATCCACGTCTGTTGTGTTATGAATTCTGGTCAAGGTTGTACCATTCCCCTTCTCCATCCCTAGAAACTGCACCACTGTACCATTCAGGTCCGGGGTTATCTCCCCTATGTGAACCTACATAAAAAGATGCAATTGGGGTTTCATGAAACTTTTTGTTCAAGGTTATAACCGGAACAAGGACGTAAAGCCCAATCAATCAATCAATCAATCAATCATGAAACTTGCTAAATCAGATAGTCTGAATTACTTTTTAAATCTCTCATTATGTGAAATTCTTGTTGCATTAATTCTTAAAATTGTATTAACAATGTTTTGTAGCAAATTTTCTGACTAATACAGCTGACATGTTGAAAAAAGACTAGTGCATAGCGGATAAAATATTAAGACAAATGGCTCCAGAACTACAAAAGAATTGGACATGTTTTCTCTGCACCCAAATGTACAGATGGAAGACAAACATTCACCTTACCCAAAAAACAAACATTCATCTGACCAAGAAGACAAGCGTCTGATCGGAAGAAGCCATAAACATTCATCACATCCTGATACATAGATGTATACTTACGTCTACAGGGTTATCATTCCTGAGGGTAAAAACCATACTCCTTGTCTCCTGTATGCCCATCGTGCCGAAGTCTAGTTGACCTTTGAACCTCTCTGGTCGATGGGGTATGACCTGGTAAGTCAATTAATCAGTCAGTTTAATAGCAGGTTCAAAACGATCTCTGACAAATAAATTTTCATTTGATCATCATTCTTAAAAATGTACACAACAATGAGAAACCTATGGTCAATTGGAAAGATAAATAAGACATACCTTTATCTTGTCATTGCAGACCACTATTGAGGAGGTAAACAGAACCTACTTTTAGTTCACCATTGTAAACCATTATTGGGGAGGTAAACATAACCTACCTTTAGCTCACTGTTGTAGACCACTAATGGGGAGGTAAACATAACCTACTTTTAGCTTGCCATTGTAGACCACTAATGGGGAGGTAAACATAACCTACCTTTATAGCTCGCCATTGTAGACCACTATTGGGGAGGTAAACGCAACCTACCTTTAGCTCCCCGTTGTAGACCACTATGGGAACGGTGAATGTGGAGGCATTTGTATGTAATGTGAGGTGAGAGTTGAAGTGGAGCTGCGTCTCGTTGGGATGGAACTGCAGCAGGAATGGTACAAGTGTATGCTGTGGCTGTAATGTCACAGGCTCTGTAAAGTTGAGGATCTGCAACACGAAAACAGACGTACAAACACATAGTAAGAGAGTAGAAAACACAGTCTTACAATCACTTGGTACTGGGGAATATGTTTTCAGCCAATCATATTTCATAAACACTGAAACCGAATTTTGTAAATGTCAATCAGGTACTTAACACATTTTTAAAATGTCACTAAATCATTGTGAAAACCTATTTTCACAGGCATATGATATACAATATACCGGGAAATTTTCGCTACAGTTTGATTTTCGTCTTTTTCGTCCTCCGTAATTAAGGCATATTTTACGTTACAGTGAATATAGCTAAACAACATAAGTAGTAATTGAATAGGAAGGGCGAAAGTAACACTGGGTAAAAATTCATATGATGGGTGAAGGACGGAAGTTAGACTGGGTGAAAGTTTTTCAGTTCAAAGTGGGCCGGTTATACTCACAGAAAAGAAGTGTGCTATGTCACTAGGAAGCGTGACGTTATAAATGACTATGGAAAAGTTGAATGTATTGGTGAACATCATGACTCGTGTGATGTTCATCAGGTTCTTGGGACTGAAGAACTGCGAGCTATTGGAGTTGTAAACTAATGACCTGCAAAACAGAAACAAGAGGTCAAGTGTCAGTCTGCTGTCGTCCTTACACATACTGCAAAGGCATGTGGGACCCGCTTTTGCTCTAAGGAAAAGTCTCCATTTTTGGGGGTCTGGTACCTACATTTGCTCTCTATCATTTACTGTGTTTTGGTGAGCTCAGTCCAACTTAATGCATTTCTGTCAATATTCATGAGTTTTACTCTTCACTGAAAAACTGTTACTAAGAACATTGCAAAAAACAGATCCACATGAAAACGAAGACCGTAAAGTATGTTCAAAAAGGTAATTTGCTACACGTTACAGAATATTCGAGAGGTTTTTCTAAAACATAAAATCGATGCCTCTGCTAGGGATCGAACCTAGAACCTTTTGATTCACTAGTCTTACACTGTACCAGTTCAGTTAGAAAGAAATTTTCCATAGAAAAAGTTGGTAGGAAGTGGTTAGTATTTACTATAATGACACATGAAACAGAATAGACCTTCTACATCTCATATACTTCATGAATGGAGGTCAATAGTTACAAATTTCATAATATTTTCTTCTTTTTTTCTCTCTCTCTCTCTCTCTCAATCTTTTATTACATTTCTTTTTTGTGTGTCTATAAGCACAACTGAATGGTGCTTTAAAAGAAGTCTGTGAATGAACTTACCCATGAAGCACAGTAGCTTGGTATGGTAATACAGTTTTCACCTGAGAGTTTTTAGTTTTCACTATAATTTTTCCTGACCACTGTTTTGGATGTAGAGCTCTTGCAGCTGAAATAAAAATAAAAAATACATTTCAGAACATATAAATCTATGGATAAATGATATACCAGAGAAAAAGAACTAGGCTGTTCGAAAGCCGACACTCAAGGAAACATGTTAACATCCTGACAAATTTGTCCAGAAGTTCTATGCCACAAAACTAGTAACATTTCTTTAATGGAAGGTACTTTGGACTTAGTAATTGCAGTTTTGAAAAATCAAAAAACAACTCAATACATTTGGAAACACAAAGAATAGTTGTGAACTGTTTTATACTACTAAAGGGAGATAACTCTGACACAAATCATGGGTAAACTGTGTAGGAATCATACTGCCTTAAGGGATGAATTAAAAGAGTCTACAAGGTTTTTGTACGAAATTGCATTTCTCTTTAATGAAAGTAAAAAATTTAAAAATTGATTACTTTAAATAGAAAATGTTCATGGTGTAGAAATGTTAATGCTAAATATCCACGCGCAAATATTTATTAATAGATTATAATGATTATAGATACATAGATAAATGAACCATTGCCGTGCCAAAGAATGTCAACATCCCAATTTGTTTAAAAGAGTCACAACTTGAACATTTCCACACGCAAACTTTTACGCTTTTACAGAATTTAACAACCAAACACACAAATATCAAAATCTATTTGGAAAAAAACCCACTATAGTATTATCAGGGGACTAATAAAGAAGCTATGATATGGTTTGGTCCAGGATATTGCTAGCAGTATCACACATATAAAACATTAGGTATCAGACATGCGAAACAACCAATATCACAGACAAGTCTATGATAAAGTCAATTATGCATGATCCGGCACCAAGGTGATCAAGTAGTCAAATTTTTCATGGGTCCGTACATTTTTAATGACACCTTATAGACAATGAAATATCATTCAGCAAAACCTCTTATGTCTGAAACGGTCGCACTTCAGTGTAATAACATAAATTATGCAGTGCCATCACAAACGTGAGATTCTGCATGCCTGATTCTGTATCAATAGATGATGGCTTATTTACCAAGTGTTGTTAACTTATGTCAGAATTCAGTTTTATCATAAAAATAATTGCTATCCATTGAAATATTTGAAATTGGTAACAAAACCAGTTTTAAAAAGATTAATAATCAAACTCCAAGGTAACAAAAAACCAAGCATTGAAAACAATGAAAAATTTGCATGAAAACTAATTTTGAAAATTCAAAGTATGATCTGGTTAAGTTTGCAAGTTTCCCTAAGATTTTATCTTTCCTTGTCATACACTGACAAAAAACAAAAACAAAATCATCAAATAGAATTGCAGGCTTATATAACAAGGTTTACAAAGATACTATCAGCTCATGGCAGATCAGTCAAGCATGCAGATGTAGGTATATTATATAATCAACAAAGACCCTTATGTCAGATACACATCACAGATGTATTGTCAAGTTTCTGTTCCGATGATATATAATGTAAGAAATCTGATACAGTGTCTAGCTTCACCTTACTTACTGGTGGAGCCTAAGCATTTCAATACAAAATGAATACACAACAATCTTCACAATCTTAGGGCTTTTAAACTGTTTTGGGACATAAAACATTGAGAACTAATAACTTTTCATGAATTTCTTAAGACACAGAGGCATCTACTTAAGAGTGGGGGTGGAGAGTCAAAAGGATCCTAAATGAGTATCCATTTTATATAAGATCATAAAAAATGTCCAGAACTTTTTGTTTATACAAAGATTTGACTGACTGGAATTTAACTCAAGATCCTTTTATAAAGTTGCCGATACACATGAGCATGCACGTCAAAACTTCAAGCGTTCCAGTTTAAATATGTCTGAATCCCAATGTTAAATGTGCCAGCGTTATATGTCTGAATAAATCTCAACTTTAAATTTGCCAGCATAACCATGTCTGAATGAATCTCAACGTTAAATTTGCCAGCATAAATATGTCTGAACGAGTCTAACCTTTAAATGTGACAGCATAAATATGTCTGAATGAGTCTAACCTTTAAATGTGCCAGCATAAATATGTCTGAATGAGTCTAACCTTTAACTGTGACAGCAGAAATATGTCTGAATGAATCACAACTTTAAATTTGCCAGCGTAACCATGTCTGAATGAATCTCAACTTTAAATGTGCCAGCATAAATATATCTGGATAAATCTCAACTTTAAATGTGCCAGCGTAAATATGTCTGAATAAATCTCAACTTTAAATGTGCCAGCGTAAATGTGTCTGAATGAGTCTAACCTTTAAATGTGACAGCATAAATATGTCTGAATGATTCTCAACTTTAAATTTGCCAGTGTAAATGTGTCTGAACGAGTCTAATCTTCGAATGTTCCAATTTAAATATGTCTGAATGAATCTCAACTTTAAATTTGCCAGTGTAAATATGTCTAAACAAGTCTCACCTTTAAATGTTCCAATTTAAATATGTCTGAACGAATCTCACCTTTAAATGTTCCAATTTAAATATGTCTGAACGAATCTCACCTTTAAATGTTATCTGTGCCACTGGCGTGTGTCTGATTATATCTGGCTGTAGTCGGATGGGCCGAAATTCTATAGAAATAGCGTTGTTTGGAGGAGATACTGTGATACCCTGCAAAAAGGAAAACACAATTCATATTATACCAACATGTGGCGACATCAATTCTTTCCAGAAACACAAATCATACTATTTACTTTTGAATTTTCATATCTGACAGAAATACAGAAAACTTCATATAAGTTTTAAAATATCAACAATAAATTTATTTTACCACAATTGTGAAACAAGTTATTTCAACTTATATAAATCACTCTTGTTGGCCCTGATGTTAGTGCACAGGGGGTCTTTTTGTGGTAGAAAATCAAAGTATCTTGAGAAAACCCAGGTGTTTGGCAGGTGATCCCATACCTTTTCACATCCGATCAAGGAATTGGACCCCTGCTGCCTTGGTGAAAGGTAAGTGCACTATCCACTGTGCCACCCAACCACCATATAAATTTAACCATGCTTTTCTGCTTAATTGATTGATGCGTAGACTTACTGTAACGTGTAAAGGTTTTGGGCCGGTGTTGACAAGGCTAAGTTGTATAGTGGTCGGCTCGTCCAGTGTTCGGAGAATACCAAAGTCTATCAATTCTAAGGGAGAATAGATACCAGGAACTAAAAGTAAACAAAACATATAATAAGTACCATTCATAAAAATATCTAACCCTTTCACCTCTGTGTAACTTCAGTAGACCCCACTGTGCATTGATCTGGAGGAGTTCATTATTGTCTGCAGGGGTGAAAGGGTTAAAACAGACTCAGGTATATATACGACTCGCTATCATCAAAATAGTATGATATTGTGTATATTACCAATGATAAGTCCATGGCTCGATGTTAAGCCTGTCCCAGCGTTAAATAGATATTACATGTATGTGTCATACCTGGCAATAAAGGAGTGTATATATGTATCTTTTCTTTGTTGTTCGTACCTGTATTTTAACCCATTATTGCGTAAACTACTGTCATCAGGGTCTTGAAAAAAGGAGGTTACTCCAAAAATTAGACTAAACTATTTTGACTGTACTGCAAGATATCACTGAAATGCCCAGTAAATTAAGACAAATTCATCTGCAAGCCCAAAGCTTGTTCCTTTTACCTTGCCATTACAACATGTTTAATACGTACATTGTTTATGTAAGAAGTTAAAACTTTGATATTACATATTACCAAACTGATGAATCTTATTGAAGATATTTGAACGACCTTGTCTTAACCCAACACCTGTGAGTCCGTCGAAGATCCCGGGCGTTTACTGACCTGACGACACCTCCACCTCCACGGGAAGTATGAGGAGTCGACTGTTTTGTTCCTGGTTGGTTTTTATTCGGATGAAGGCTGTATGGTTGTTCTCAACCCTCCCTATGAAGTTGGCCTTCATAACTGCTTTGGTCTCATACGGAGGGATCTCCTACAACAAAACAACATATAAACATTTTAACCATTTATTTACTATGTAGTATTAATCACTTTCTGCATAAATTTATTTTTGTTAATGTTCTTCAAATGACATATTCGGGACAATTCAAGTCCCAGATGATAAGACATCATCTATGTTTCTCTGTTTAACTGTCACTGATAAATAATTACAAAATGGTTAAATTCTTTGTTGTCTTTCCTCAAAAGCTAATGTCAAAAAAATATCTCTTTCACAAAACCTACGTAATTTACAATATTCAGGCTCCAATATAACTTCAATGTGGCAAATCAAAACGGAGGAATACAATATTTTTGATACCTTCAATAGTCACAGAAATAGATTTCACAAGTCTTCAAAAAAAGAATCCAGCTTATTGCATTTTCTTAACATATTGTGACATTAACTCATTACCCTAGTGTAACCAGATTTATTACCTGGACCGTTTTCGAGTGGTACGACATGAAATTATCAGTAGTACGACCTTGACCTATTTCCTGTGGTATGACCTTGAACCATATCCCTGTGATGTGGCCTTGATCTATTAATGAGGTGACCATGACCTATTTCTTGTGGTGTGATTTTTTTTAATAATTTACCTGTGATGTAGCCTTGATCTATTAATGAGGTGACTATGACCTATTTCTTGTGGTGTGATTTTTTTTTAATAATTTACCTGTGATGTAGCCTTAACTATCATTGGTTGACCTTGACCTATTTCTTGTGGTGTGACCATTTTTAAATTTCGTTAATGTGGCCTTGAACTCTCAATGGGGTGACCTTGACCTCTTTTCTATGGTGTGACCTTAACCATCTATCCTTATAGTGTACATACCCATAAATTCTTTGGTGCTTCTAACTCCCCTGTAGGTAACTCGAGATGTAAGTCACCTTCACTGGAAAACATTTCTAAAACCTGCAAAAAATAACAAACATCATAATACGACCCACTAATAAGGACTTGTTAGTCACGATCAGGTTATGAATGTTGTCCAGCCAGTATCAATATATCACCCTGTCAGTGACTTTTTGTGCCTAGTTGTACACCCAAAATACAGGCTGCTTCCCCAAGCAAAAACCCATAATGAAGAAAATTCGAAGAATATCGTCCCAAATTCAATGAAAATACTGCGACATTTTCCCAATTCCTGTAGTAACAGGTTGTAGTAACATTTAAGAAGAAAAAACACTGCCTCTGGAAGACCTACTAATTGGGTGCTTAACGCAGGTGGTCTCTTAATGCAGGTTAAGTTCATATCATATATGAAAAGAGGTCTAATAAAAAGAGGTGGTCACTTAAGCAGGTCTGACCGTTATCATTGTTTCGTTATAAACCTGAAGTAATACCATAACATTCAAGGACTTGCAGCCATAGACAACCGACTGGGACTCCTTTACTTAATATTATATGAGGCAAGAAAGTTAATTATCTATATCTTACAAATTATTTTTCCCATAAAAAACCCACCAAGTGTTTAATAACCTGCGACTTCAGTTTAGCCATAAAATTCCATCCAATTTCTAGGTAATCAGGTGTATTGCTTTAACATACCAAATGGGTCATTACACTAGACAGGTATAAACTGGATAGGTACATCTCGTCAACTCACCTGTAACATTGATGAATGAGGATTATGCATTTGTATCACAGGTGAAAAACTACTGTTGAGTGGAACTTTTGCTCCTAAATAAGGTCGTAACCTGTACGGGTTGGGGATGCCGACGCCAAATACCTATAAATAGAACAATGCAACGTTACTTCATGTTTACAATCGGATATCCACATCAACTTGTAATTATGGTCAAACATGTCTGTTATGCAAGATATGTGAGCAGTGACAAATTTGAAAATGTATTTGTGTTTTAAGTTAATGTACTTGATGCGTGGTATGGGGGGTGGGGGGCGGGGGGCTAATTTAAGAAATTATAAAAATCACCAAACATATTTCAGGTCCTTTTACTAAAAAGATGGGATTTAAATTTGGTTTTTAAAACCTGCCTTTCAAGTAGAGAGGGTATATATGTATAAATAGAACAATGCAACATAGGGGTAGGGGGTTAGAGAGGTCCTGAAACATACATATTTGTTTTGGTCTTGTGGAAATGTAGTTACATGTTACATAAATATACTTAAATGGTACAATACTACACTTAAGGTGTACTTACATGGTATGTTACTGGCCCCTGCGAGGTGTGTATGTATAATGTATTTTCTGCATTTCCTTCCTGTCTGGCTAAAAATACAACATCAAATGTGGTATTGCCTCCCGGCGGAACTGTCTGGAAACGAGAAAAAAATAAAATCACATTAAACACCAAGTCTTTATCTGGTCTGACTGCAGCTAGGCAGCAACAGCAGGATTTTTTTTCAGTTTTTCCTCAGTATTTTGGGAATTGCTCATTTCCTTTATCTTGAAAAAGACTACTGTATCTAAAATTGCTTGCACCATTTTTCTCTTGATGAACAATAAAAAAAACCCACTAATATCTAAAGTCCTTTACAGAAAGCATTTATAAGGAGTTTTAGGAATTCGGCTGGAAATAAAAACTAGTCAAAGGAATTTTCATTTTTGCTGGGTTTTTTTCAAGAGTCATAAGTTTGGTATATGAAAAGGAACTATAACGCTTTATATGTCTTTTAAATAGTGAAATACTTTGCCAAAAATCAGCGGTAACAAATTTTGTAAAGATGGTTGCAATTCCCCAAAACATACAATACTTTCTATACATACATTAATTTATCTATGTCTATAACAACAGGGATGGTAATAATATCAAATACGGTATTTGTTTCAGTGTAAAGTTTAACGTTGTATCCTTGTTCTTCCTTATCAAAATGCTACTTGTTCTATGTGACCCAAGACAGGGAAAGTGAAAGTAGCCTTCTAGGGCTATAAATAGCCTCCTTATCTAGGAGATAGATGTTATGCAGTGCTGTATGATTATATTCCACTGAGATTGCTCACGTTTCTAGCTGTCTGTGATCGCCTGTCACATTTGATTAAAGTACGATCACGTTACAGTTTCCCATGCCTTATCCAGAACTGATACCTAGCTATAGCCAGTCCATAAAATGTGGACTCTCTAATGCACATCGTAGTGACTTTTGAATAGGGGCTACAATGGACATTTTATGCAGCAAAATTGCTTGCACCATTTTTCTCTTAATCATTTTTTTTTTTTTAAAGCATTTACAATTTTCTGAAGTCCTTTGCATAAAGCATTTATAAGGATACATTTATTATTAGTTATTAAACATCAAAAATCTAGATTTTCATCAAGTTGAGGAAAAAAAGTTGCAATAAATGTAAACACTAAGGTCAGGGAATGGTATTGTACATTCATACTTATATTTTTACTCAGTGTTGACGACACAAAATTAATTGAAATCTACATGCTGATATAACCATTTCACAAAATCAAAGTGCCGAGTGCACTCAGGGATGCTGTGTATGAAGGATTCAAATAATGGAATAAAGGAGGTGGTATATCAGTACAGAATGGCAGTAAATAATAAAGAACATGTTGTTGAGTAAGGGTCATAATAGCCCATCCCTTAATCATAATTTTCAATATATATAAAGGCCTAGCGGACGATCTGAACAATTTATGTTTTTATTCTATATATATATATATATATATATATAACAAGCAGAGTATTGCTAAAACAATATAGGTCCCTTACTGGCTACCATTAGCAGTATAACAAGAGATCCTAGAAGGATATTGGCGCCCACCGTTGTACCATCTTCATTAGTTCGATCTTTTCTCTTCTTTCCTCTAATCTGTTTGATCGAGTCATGTTAACAGTAAATGCACCTTGAGGTAACTTTTGATCTAAACTTAATACTGATGTGTAAGAAAGCCAACCTTCAAAGTGAGTTTGTCATTTCATATATTTACTAGGACAGTACTTAATGTGAAAGAAATAGAATCGATCATTGCAATATGAGAAAGATCTTGTTTAGTTTTTAGTCTCAAATTAACTATTATGGTCCTTCAATAGTTTTTCAAATCGATGGAAATCCTTCAGGGAATGAAGCTGCTACAGCGCAGACCATGATCTTTTAAAAATAGTAACAGTGACCTTGACCAGACAACCCTGCAAACCGAAATTGTCCCGTAAGATTATGGGAAAGTTTACGATTAAATAAAATAAAAAAATAAAAATGTTATATAGATAATATAAATAATTATGATATTATTATTACGATTTGTTATTATCATGATTAATTATACAAAAAATTAAAACGAGATTGTATTATTTCCAGTGCGTGTAATCACAGACTTATGCGATTCCCTTGCGTATCTCTCCTTCTCTCGATATTGTACCGAAGGTTAAAGACCTATAAAATTATTCAGTTTCTGGTAAATGTGAATAATATGTATATACGGTTTTAATTTTTGATGTTCAATATGCTACTTGTATTATACTAATTGGGCCATTATCTAGAGACGGTATTTTGGGAAGCTATCTACAAACTCGTTAGGCACAGCTGCTGTCGCATTTGGGGAGCTATCTATAAACTAGTTAGGCACAGCTGCTGACAGCTACTTTAGTATAAGTCAACATTCTCTTTCACTTGGAGACTTTCCATTGAGACAAAGAGAACACGAAGCCTACTTTATCAAGGACAGTTATCAAACAGTCGTTCAACAAGTCGCGAGCATGAAACTACACAATGATGGACAAGGGGAAACAACTCTTACACACACACACTTTAGAGTTTTGGAATACGAGGCGTAGTAATTTGAACCAAATATAGGTCGGAACTTTCACTGATTAAAAACGCCACTGTTAAAGATCTTTACATATTTTCTTTGATTTTTTTTGTCTTATACAGATATATTTTGCCATATTATATATGGCATTGATCATATCATGAAATAATGAACACATTATCTAAAGATCTTGTTGGGTTTTTTTGTGAAGAAATTATTCGGTCCAAAAAGCGTAGTAATTCGAGATTGATATAGTTCATGATGCTCACTAAAAAAACTGGCTTTTACGTAAAATTTTAACTTTTTTCTTTGATTAATTAATTGTTTTCATATGTATTTCTTCATTTTGTAGCATTAATCATACCATGAAATAATCAAGACAGCATTTAAAGATCATCCGCGGAAGAAGAAAGTCTGTTGTTTGGTTTTGATTTGCCCAGGCTTGGCGAGGTTCGCTATGAATGCTGTACACAGCATCCAAAAAGTTTATCATCATTATTCCAAGAAATTTTAAATCAATTTCACAAAATAAATGAATTGCCATTCACTTTTTTGCATTTGTAAATGTATTGTATACCAGATTTTTTTTACCACAGTTTACATGGCCTTTTTTTGCCGTCCGTAATGAGGGCAAATTTATCACGACAGTCAAATGAAGTACACAACATACCATAAATATAGCAATAATATGTGTAAACGGCGAAATTAAAACTGCCTGAAAACAGATTCTACCAGTGAAGGGCAAACATTTTACTTGGCGAAAGTTTCCCGTTATACAGTATTCACAAAAACAAATATTGACAAAAACAGATCTTTTACTAATTGTTTGGTCAGATTTATACAATTCTCAATCATACTTACTTTATCTTGAAAAAATGAACAATGAAAATGCACCGTGCTGCCAGATATTGACAGGAGATGCAAAGAATGTTTTGGGTCTGTATTTTGAATAACGACCTGTTCCATCTGTGGCATTCCTACTGATCTGAAAATACAAAAGTAAATCAGGGGTTAATTGGTGCAATTAAATTCAGGGTCAATCAGTGCACAATACAGGTCAACCGGTACATTATATTACCGGTAACTCATTCGACCCTACATATTTAATCTGGACTTGCCCAGTCTTTGATTTGGTAGGGTTCAAATGTGACTTAAGGGGGTAAATGGGTTAAGGTTAAGGGTACTCCTGCATCAGTTATCATCACAAAGGAGAGTTCCACTCAAGACTTCTTTTTCCACTAGGAGGAAGCACCAAAATGGTTTTATGGCTTGGAGTCACTTCCCTTTGGAAGTTTTTCGTATACTTTGTGGTCTAATTGGACACTGATTTTGATGCTTTGCTTGCACTACTTGTATAATTAATTCCTGTATGGCAACACCGGTAAAATGTAGACTTCGTTAAGCAAATGTTCCAACTTTGACCCCTGTACCTTTCTTCACTTCTTTAAGATTTCTGTTTTCGAACACTTAATTGTTGAACAACTGCAACTCTGTCAAATGCATAGCAACATGCAATTTTTATGAAATATTTCTTTTGAAAAGGACTTATACAGTAGTGACAGTGGTAATTATACACATTTAACTTGTCAGTACCCTTTACCTTATAAGGTCAATAAGTACAAATATCGGTCAATGGGTTAACATTCCAGGTTAACGCGTGCTAAAGTCTTTTGTTAATCCAAGTATATCCTAAATTATTATTTATTTATCCTAGATTATAGATAAAACAATTTCTTCATGAGTTTATTTTTCCATATGTTATAATTATATAACGATATAATTTTTTCTTTTCTTTTAAAACTGTCAGGTCGCTATTGATTGTGACATTCAATTTAACAAAACCAATCTATAGATTATTACACTGCGCAAACATGCCAGTCTGGATATATCGGTTTCCAAACAAATGTCTGGAATACCTAGTAATCAAATTTCTGTACAATGTACAAGAGTGATCCCTTATTTCCTAAACATTTATGTCTGGAAGACGCAAGGGTTCCAGGGATTAACATGATTTAAAAGTACATTTTTTCTTCCACAGTAAACAACAGCAGCACTTTCAATAGATTTTAGAAGTTGAACGCATCGTAGAACAAAACACTTGAAAGACCTAGTGTTATACATTTATTGCCCTTGCAGTTGGGAAACATGATTCTTTGTTTCTCCGAAGTTAGCCATGTTTTACCCAAGAGGCTGAAATGTGATTAATTAATAGGGGAGAAACAAAGAATCATGATTCCCTACTGCAAAGGCAATCAATAAAAATCAAATAAAAATCAAACAATCAAAAACAATAACACAATAGCAGAGATTATCAGGTTGGCATGCTTTTGTTGTCATCTGCTTCCGTCATTCCATATGATTTGGGAAACTCGAGTGTGTGAGGGCGACATGATGTATTATTGCCCCATCATGTGACCAGTATTGTCCAATCAATAAATATTGGTGCATTCTACCTATAGCCCACAAGTGTCAATATATTCAGTCTATCATCTGTTTAAATTCATAGTCAGCACTTGTGTTAATTTGACAGTGGTAATCTATACATATAATGACCAAATAATTTCTTTTTATTTGATCCTCTAAGAATGTATTTCATTTCTTTCAATTCAAGACCAAACCAAAAACAAAATGACCAGCTTTATCATTATCATAAGATGCTGATTTATCCAGTTCAGTATCAAAGTACAAAATTAACCATTAAATTTTACAATATATGGATATACTAAAAAAAACTGTTACAGCCCAAGCAATGTGAAACTTCCTTACATTTACGATATCAAAATCATCAGGTTTTTTTTTTTTATAATTTAATTGAAACAAAAAATGGTAGGTCTTAATGCGCTATGATTACAATGTAGGCTCGAACACCTGTGCTACATGTCGGTATAATATTGTCACAGCAAAAAAACATCACGAACCAAATAAGTTTAGTACTTGTTTAGCACTTTGGGGATTTAGAAAATTAGCATTCGTATTTGAAATCAATAATTGTTCCGTACAACACATTGAAGCGTTGTTATGGTAACCCCCCGTTGTTATGAACGATTCGGAACGACACATTTGAAAATGGAAACTGTAGCCCGTAGTGTTTCGAGTGACGCTGTCGACAAATGCTGAATACTGCCCTAGTGTCGTTATTGGATCAAAATGCCAGCTGATTCGCCTCACAGCCACACACATGCCTAAACTTTAAGAAAAACGATTCACAGATAATTGATTAGTCAGTCTAATCGTCCTATTGTAACAACTATCTTCAACGAGCAGCCTTTGTCTATAATCTATCTACAACTAGTTGAGGTCACTTCAATATAAACACTGCCGGGAGCAGAAAACGGCCATTCCATTAAGGAAAAAATAAATATACCCATTTCTCAGTATAAATGTAAAACCTCGCAAAACTGTCACCATTTGTCAGTAAAATCGGTTATAATGTGACTTTTTGTCAGTAAAACCTTGTTATAGTGTCACTGTGTCAATAAAACCTTGTTATACTGTCACTATTTGTCAGTAAAACTTTGTTATACTGCCAACATTTGTCAGTAATACGTTGCTATACTGCCACTTTTTGTCACTGAACTTGTCATACTGTCACATTCCCCACCCCCAAATTCTTCGCATGTAAAAGACATAAAATACACAAGAGATTTGGCAAAAAGAATGAGTGGTATATAAATGTAAAGGGTACTGGCAGTTGCCACTTTCTGAGAAGGCAAAGAATTATATAGAGAATTATACATGCCTTTTTCCATATCACACCCAGTATCAACCGGAGGCTGCATTATCAGCCCAAGGGCCAAAGGCCCGAGGGCTGATATTGGCCAAGGATTGATACTGGGTGTGATATGGAAAAAGGTGTGTTTTATTCTGTGTATTACATACTTACTAATAAAAACTACAATCTTATGATTTATTATTATTTTTGAAATATTGAAAAATGATTTTTTTTCCAAAAGGGGTGTGATATGGGTTTTGCGGACTGATACAGGTTTTGGGGTGTGATACGGAGGGGGCTGATACGGGTTTTGGGGTGTGATACAGCGAGGGCTGATATGGGTTAGAGCAATTGTGTTATATCGCATATACAAACAAGAGGCCCAGAGGGCCTGTATTGCTCACCTGGATACCTAAGCAATCATGGCAAACTATTCTCCAAATGAGATCAAGGGAATATGCCAGACCCCAAGGCCAATCCTTGTAGCATAGCTGTATTAGATTTTTCATGCCCAGCAATTTTATGTATGGTTATGAGGTGGGGATCTCAACTGTTTCCAAGCTTTGACTCAGAAACTAGGTCCCTAGAGTTGTGGCCAGACCCCCCGATCAATTCTAATATCATGACTGCATTTGTCTCTTTATGCACAGCATTTTAGTTTTGGGGTGGGGATCTCAACCGTTTCAATGTTATGACCCAGGGGCCAAGTCTGCAAGGGTGGGGCAGACCCTGGGATCAATTCTAATATCATGACTGCATTCGTCTTTTTATGCCCAACAATTGTATATATAGTTTTGGGGTGGGGATATTAACCATTTCAAAGTTATGACCCAGGGGTTAAGTCTCCAAGGGTGGGGCAGTCCCCAAGGCCAACCTGGAAGCATATGTGCAATCATCTCTTTATACTCAGCAATTGTATATATACGGTTATAGGGTGGGGCTCTCAACTGTTTCCAAGCTGTGACTAAGAAACTAGGTCCCTAGGGGTTCGGTCAGACCCCAGGGTCTATTCTGATATCATGATTGCATTCGTCTCTTTATGCCCAGCATTTGTATATATAGTTTTGGGGTGGGGATCTCAACCGTTTTAAAGTTATGGCCCAGGGACTATGTCTCCAAGGGTGGGGCCAGACCCTAGGGACATCCTGGAAGCAAATGTGCATGCTTCTCTTTATACTCAACAATTGTATATATGGTTATATGGTGGAGATCTCAACCATTTCCAAGTAATACATTTTATTGGCCCCACCCCTTAGCCCGGGGGGGCAGCCCCACCATTTGTACAATTTTGAATCCCTGCCTCCCATGAATACTTCCGACCAAATATGATCAATATCCATGGCATAGTTCTACAGAAGGAGTCGTTTGTAGCAATATAGCCAAATTGCCCCCTTTTGGCCCCGCCCCTTAGCCCCCTGGGGAGTCAGCCCCACCATTTGTACAAATTTGTACAACCTAGGGATGCTTCCAGTCAAATATGGTTGAAATCCACTTCTTAATTCCAGAGAAGAAGTCGCTTAAAGCAGTATAGCCAAATACCCTTTTTTGCTCTGCCCCTCAGCCCCCTGGGGGGTCAGCTACACCATTTGTACAATTTTAAATCCCTGCCTCCAAGGAATGCTTTTGATCAAATATGATCGATATCCAGTGCACAGTTCTACAGAAGAAGTCGTTTGTAGCAATATAGCCAAATTGCCCCCTTTTGGCCCCGCCCCTCAGCCCCCTGGGGAGTCAGCCTCACCATTTGTACAATTTTTAATCACCACCACCTAGGGATGCTTCCAGTCAAATATGGTTGATATCCACTTCTTAGTTCCAGAGAAGAAGTCGCTTAAAGCAATATGAGCAAATTGACCCCTTTTGGCCCCACCCCTCAGCCCCCTGGGGGGTCAGCCCCATTATTTGTACAATTTTGAATCCCCACCACCTAGGGATGCTTCCAGTCAAATTTAGTTTAATTCGAACCAGTGGTTAAGAAGAAGAAGTCGTTTAAAGAAATTGTTGACGTACGGACGGACGGACAACGGACGCCACGGTATGGCATAAGCTCACCTTGGTCCTTTAAGGCGGACACAGGTGAGCTAAAAAAAACGTATTTATTAGTAAGTATGTAATAAATATATTTAATCAAGGTTTTTCTGTACATATGATAAACCATTTTATTTACAATTTCTTATAAAATCTGTTCGAAATCAACATTGAAATATCATATATATGGCTGTACATCGATAAGTTTCCTTAGCTATTAATGGGGTTCCCATTGAAAGTCAACTCCTTATACAGTGAAAACCTGCCTTAACCAAACCCTGTTTTATCTGTAAACCTGTCAATCCTGACAGAAAGTTTAGGTCCCAGTGATGTTTGGTTGGCACAGGTTGTATGTTACAAGTAGTGATAACCATAGAGCAAGATCATGATCATCAGCACCCTAGAATAATAGTCTGACAACAGTGCAATATGATGCTTTTGGTGCAGACCACAAATCGTTGTTGTACAAGTGTACCATATGGTCAGACCGACCAGGAGACCAGCTTACTCCTACACACTGTAAACTCCTCCTTGTATTACAAGAGAGTCCATCTGTCGGTCGGCTGGTGTCGGAAACTTCAAGCTAATCTTTGGATCTCCATGCCTATACATATCTTTACAACGCAAATGTTTAAAACAAACCGGTCAAGTTCTCACCAATAAATTGAGCGTCATAGATGATCAAAATGCAAGCCATTTTGGTATGGAAACTTTTCATAGGCGTTCAAATCCACATAATGGCATTCCAGTTATTAACATATGCTATTTTAATTTCTGACGTGTCTTTTTTAAAGATCATTTTAACATCAAAAGATTTTGAATAGGGGATTTTCAAACATTTCCAATAATGGAATAAGCGGTGCAAATACAGGAAATTCCAAAATATAATACAATCTCAACAGGCCATGGATGTCATTGGCTGGTTGACCTGCACAGATGAAAGTGTCTTAGCAGGTATATTTTATATGCCATTTATGATTAAATCTTCTGGTTTCTATAAATAAACAGTTAAAAATCATTATAAATTTGGTATGAAATTCATGTATATCATTTTATTATTTAAGGATTTTTAGTCCAAAATACTGTATCTTTCTGTCGAATGACAAAAGATATCAAAACTATAAATCAATTTGACAACAAGCTACGGTTGCCGTAGCTCTAGCTAGGAAGGTCTTACTTATGGATATCATCCTCATATATAATGTGTTGAACTAAGGGATGGGCCTAAAGATGAGCGTGGGCTTATAACTGGCGAAATGCAGTAGAGAACTATAGAAATATAAATCAACTATACTTACTGTTCTTGAAAATCCAGCCATGGTGGATCTAATCTTATAGATGAACTTTTAAATAAGATATCCTCTGGACTGAAAAGACACAAAAACAAAATGGTCATCAATACAAGAAATACACAACATCAGAGGACCTGCTAACTTAAAACAACACAATGGCAAAGTTATTTTCAATCACCATGCATTTCTCCGCTGTATTTACCTGCAAGGAATTCATGTGAATAGTGTGAAACCCGTTCATCATGTCACAAAAAAAAAATACATTTCAAGATGCATCGACTATTTAATAAATTTAGTGGAATAGTTTAAACTGATTCTGAATAACTTTCCCCAAAACCCTTTCTTACAAATATCTTTTTGAACTGATTCCACCTAAAGTTTAGCAGAAAATTTTATTCTTCCATATTTTTTCTCTTCAAATGTGAAATGTTCAAGAGTAAACAGGATGCTGTACTGTTCCATTACAGCTTTAAAGAATATCACTATTGGGTGGAGGCGGCAAGCCACTAGGGAGCAGCAATTGTGGGGGTATTTGAAGCAGAATCCTGCTTCAAATAGCCCCATTTTCCATTACGGGACACTTGAACACTTGTACATGTGTCCCCACGACCACCTGAAATGACAACTTAAAAAACTCCAGTCTCCAAATTTTAATGACTTAAAGCAATGAATACTGAAATTTATCATTTATGAGGACCCCAAATATTTATCTATGACCCCAATTTTCAATCACAGGGATCATGAACACTGTCGAGGTATTGAATATACATTGCTGTTCCAAAATAAATATATATACGTTTCCTGTAATCAGCGCTCCAGGCACATGTATACATTTCCTGGTAGAAAGATAGGAAGCCATCATCTATATATCTCAGTAATGCTATACCTATATAAGTATAAATGTCTGAAACTTTACTGCGACTCCTAACCTTTTCACCATTGTAGACCATAATGGACTCATCCATATCAATGCATGGTAAAGTCTACTTAAGTAGGGGTGAAAGGGCTTATATATAATATAGTGACATTTATCAAGATAGCGTGATCATGATCAGTACTTGAACATGAAGGAGTTTTCCTAGAAAAGTCCCAAAATCTACAATCGATTAGATAGGATGTGATTATCCAGGCCTGTACCACCCAACAACAACGATACGAGCAAATTATAAGTGGTAAAGGAAATGTAGAAACAAAGGTTTTCAAAGAATCAGTCTATTATTTGTTTTGTTTATGGATTCTTCACAATCTTCTCTAAACAGCTTGTTTTCCCACCTCTACATAAGCTAGATAAACTTGACCCATGTGGGACATCCATGTGAGATATATCCCTTATAATTTAACCAGAGGAACTCCACTTTGAAACCTTTTTCTCCCTCTAAATTCTGATAAGTAAAGGCATAGTATTTAGTTGACAGACTTTCTGGAAAATTGTTAACATTTCAATGCGATTAATGATGTTATTGAATTGTCGTTTTGATCAGCAAAATATCCATTCCCTATTTACGTTTGCAATCGACATAATAAATGCCACACATAAGTTAACAATTATTATTGAAACAAAAGACACATAGTTTGGTTTGGTTAGGGTTTTTCATGTTTTACGTCCTATTAAAACCTTTGGTCATTATACGGAAGTGCCAGGTTTTGGTGGTGAGGAAAAACCACCGACCTACCGCCAGAACCTGGCGCTGCCCCACGTAGGCGTCAAACCAGATCAATGTATGATAGAGTCTACTAAAGTTACCAAGGGGCGAAAGGGTTAAATTTACAAATTCTGTGTTTGATATGTTTGGATGAACAAGGTATTGTGCTTTGAGATTCATTTTTACAATCAGATGCTTTTAACATTTACTCTTGAACAATGCATTTGTTTCAGCATTTATAATATGCTCTATTTCTTTTTCTGTATATTTAATTGACACATTTAACGCAAGTACATTCATTGTAATCATTTTAATCAATTTCTAGTCGTCTGATTTTGTGCACTTTGCTTATGACGTCCCAATTAAAATCAAATCGTCTGAAGAGCCCCAAGATGGGCGAAAGGGCTAGCTAAATGTAGTCTTTGTGTTTTGTTCTACAACCACGGGAAACATTTATATACAAAACTGTCACCTGAGGAAGCATACACATATACAATGGACCACACTGTCAACAATCTTTCCCACTAGTTTTAAGATGTGGGTATGCAATAAGTAGGTCAACTATTTATAGCCCTGGGGACACTTCCCAAGATATACACAACATTTACAAACCTTAGCATTTAAAGTGGGTCACAATGTCAAAAACACATTATAACCATATAATGAAATCTCAGTGACATTAACCATTCAATAAAAACTCAAAGCGACATTTCAACCAGAAAGAGTTAAATTTTAGTGTATATACCAAGATATAACGTTGTTCCCAGCATTTATCCTAGTTTTCCCCCCAGTCTATATCCATAAATCTTGACTATAGGGTACAGCTAACAACAAAACCTGTTTATTGGTGTGTGCAGGCCTAGGCCGGGGTCCTAGGGCAAAGCTGGATGTATGACAAAAATAATGTACAAAATGTCTACATACTTACAAGAGGCAAAATGTATCTATGTTTTTTCATTATACCTTGTCCCTAAGAAGACCCAGAAACCCGCCAAGTAAACTGTTCCAGTGTTATTTTGCACAAACAAAACGGCCCTTTTCAAGGCCAATCTCTTTTCTCAAAAAGTGTCTTTAATCGACCATCCTCTAATTGCTTTTTCAGCTTTTGAAAGTTAAGGCAAAGGTTTAAATACTATTGAAACCAGCAGACAGTTATTAACTATTTTGGCAACCAGGGTATTTAAAACCAGGAAGTTTGGCGAAAAATATGTTACAGGATTTTGGTTGTTTATATACCTATTTACAGGAGTGTAGGATCGGGTAAACAAACAGGGCAGCAGCTATATCTGTTGTAGGCTTGTCCAGGTAAAGCATATAGTCACATGACTGGTTAGCTTGATATCAGGGTTTGTGTTAACCCGTCTCCATGTCCTTTTGAAGCATTCAATTTGAAAAAGACCGAACTTTTATAATAATTCCTTTCAAACTTTTCTCCAAAGGACCCTATTCAATTTGAAAAAGATCCTATTTGTGACAATTCAGAGCTAGCCCTATTGATATGCTAATTTCTATACTGGTCTAGGTATAATGTGCCCCACCATAACGGTTTGTTAGGTTGATATATGTAGTCACACATAATGACTGGTTAGCTTGATACCGTCATCTCGGACCTAGGTATTAAAATCATACAGTAACTATTGGTTAGCTTGAGGTATTCAATCATTTCAGTTCAGCTGTTAAGCTAGCAATGCTTTGCACTGAAGATCAAGCCTCTCCAGATACTACAATCCAAGGTCCATACATTGGTCTAGCAATGGTGTGATAATCCGGCCATCCCCGACACACAAATAACACCTTTGTGTACAGATAGTCACATTTATTATAAACCTTACAGAACTTTTCTTTTTCACCCTTTTCATACAATTTTCATGTGTACTTTCTTTCCATCCTGCTGATCACCTTTTCAATGAAACATTTTCTTTCATTTCCTATCACAACAATTTTCAATTGGGCCCTTAACCCTATCTTCTATCAAAATATTCTGATTTTAAGTACAAGTAAAAGTTACATTAAGCACTTTCTAACAAGATGTCCTGGTTTTCAATAAGGTCCTTTAATTTTACCCTATCACCCCTATGGTTCGTGAATAACCTCAACCATTAATTGATCTGGATGAGTCCATTATGGTCTACAGTGTTGAAAGGGTGAATGTATATCCAGACGGTCGACTTTTACTTTCTTTTTCCTATATCAAGATGATCAGATCATGCATTCTACAACGATGTTACGGTTTACATTATAGGGGTAAACTGAAACATCATACTTAAGATATTATATGTATCTTGACTATCTTGACACAACAGCCCTTATGATACATATCTAGATATTATTTGCATAATAATTCAAATGGGAAAAGAACAAACTAAACAACTTTCCAAGTGCAAGTTGAGTACAAACTGGACTAGCCCAGTCTTTGATATGGTAAGGTTCAAATGTGACTACAGTGTATATAATAGTATTATTGATTAAAAAATTTAGATGGGCATAATGAATTAACACATGATCCCCCTGCTATGCAGAAACAGTGCTATGTTGCACATTTATGAATACAGGTTTTTGTATAAGAATTGCTGTCAAGACAGAAATGAGGAACTTGACACATAAAATGTAACGACGTTGTTTTAACAGTAATCTATTGCATACAAATAGTAACAAATGTATTTGTATAAGGATTAGCATTAGGCGGTAGAAACAAGGAAGATCTAGATGTAAACACTTAACAGCCGGAAACTGTTCCTAGTCCCGTACCAGGATCTAGATAAGCCTTTATCTACTTCAAGCACATGATGCTGCACTCAAAACATGAAAATAAATCCATTTAACAGCCAAACCAGTTTTTCTCAAATTTAAGATGTTAATTTAATGATTTCATAATTTGAAAGGTTTAAAAACTTGAAATGACCTTGGTTGTTTGTACAAGTAAATATGAGTTGGCCAAAGTAATTTCAACAGGTAAATGTGTGATGATCTAGGTTGTTTGTTGGGGAAAGTGCGTGATGACCTACGTCATTTGTACAGGTAAATGTGTGATTACAAAGGTCATTAGCAAAGGTAAACGTGTGATGACCCCTAGGTCGTTTGTAAATGCAGGTTAATATGTGGATTTTGTTTCAGAATCCTTTTTATTTTATATATATTTATATATATATCATTAATTTTCATGCTTTAGTATCGAAGACAGAAATAAAGTCGACACTAAACACGTGATGACCTAGGCCGATCACATTTATTTCTCTCCAGTTCAGGTGATTTTGATGAGTGATACCCATCAATACTGAAGTAAGATTGGCAGACTGATCAATATGCTTGATGGCATTGACAGTATAGTGTCAGTATATCACAGCATCCTCAAGCTACATAGTCCCTCTGGCTACGTGTACGTCCAGACATCACATCATATTACCCTATAAATTGATGTGATAGGCATCTTCG